CTAGCGTTGTTGTCATCTTGTTTTCATCCAATAAACTTCCTGCTAAAGTTTCGAACCGAAACCACACTGAGTTTCATTTCTTGTACGGGTTTTGCAATGGCACTTCATTGGCAGTCGTAAGAGAATATCAAAGATTTCCCAATCGCATAGTACCTGAATATTGCACACTTTTTTCGGGACACCCTGTATAATGAACCAAACATAATAGAAGTAGCTAGGAGGAGAAGATTGCAGTGGCTGGAGCACGAGGAAAGAATGCCGCAAGAAAGAACAGCGAAGCATATAGCATGGAGAGTTCCGGATACGGAGAAGAAAAGAGGGAGAGCGAGAAGAAGATGGAAGGATGCGGTTATGGTTGATTTGGGGAGCAGGAATATCAGAGACTGGAAGAAACGAGCACTAGACAAGAAACGGTGGTAGAAACTTATCAAGCTCAGGGCCTGAAAGCTGTGTATATATATAGGTTAGCACTTTTCAATTCCTAGGTTATAAATAGCACGTACTCGTAAAAGAATGTGACCAGTAGGTACTCATTTGTCTTCTAGAAACGTGAACACCCTGTAAGAATAACTAAAAATAAAACAAACTTCACACTCACCGTTTCCATGCCATTTCTGTATCTCGGTATCTCCGAAGTTTCGCTCCGTTCTTCTCGTAATCCAAACGTGCACTACACTACACACTACACTACACACTACACTACACATAGCCACAACCACTTATTCCACATCACACCGGCACAATTTGCCAAGTACGACTTGGTTACTTGAAACCAAAATGGCGCTCCTGTAGAACCAGTGTGCGAAGCCCACAGTATCGCCGTTGTTTTCCTTCATTCTTCCCGTATCCAAAAGGTGCAAATCACTACATACACTCACAAACACTTATTGTTTATCCCGCCGAACGATTTTTCCGCGTACGACCGAGTTTTCCTTTGGAAAACACTGAAAATAACGCTCGCGAAACGCCCGTTTCAGAAATACGCGAAGACTGTTAAAAACAATTGCAACATTGAATATGCAGACCGCACGACAGACGTTTTTCTAGGAAGCGCGCCAGCTCGCCAACGCCAACTCGGTTCAGAGAATTCTTCCGGACCCTTTGTATTAACGTGGCCAATTTGATTTATTTTAGCGATTATTTTCTCTGATATCGGAGGTATGTTAGTACGGTTAATAAAAATGATCAGCTAATACAGGGTGTTCCTTAACGATAAGCGAATATTCAAGGGTGTGAATCTACATAAACCGCTTCAGATATTTCACTAATGATTAGTACGTAGTGGAAGTTAATAAAGTTGCATATTTTTCAATGCAAAAATAATGTTTAGCCTTAACAGTGGCGTGCGTTCGGGTATTGACTTGGTACGCCAATGGTTGTTTGCCAAATAAAAATTATTTTTGAATTTCCCATTCAATTTAAAACAAATGAATTGTTTTCTTTCGATGCGTCATTTTTGAGTAAAAAAAATAAAAACTGTTCTATTGGTTAACTTGCAAAATTATTGCTAATTTAATTGGAAAAATTAAACACATCAGGAGTAATGAACAACAACTGACAACATAAACATAACATCAAAGCCAACGAAATGGTTACTTAAATTGTTGAAAATTGCCCCATTTACTCAGTATGCATGCTTCCGCCCTCCTCATGGAATTGCGCACTCGTTGAAATATCCCTGGAGTGTTTTTTAATCTATCACAAGCTGCAACTATTCTTTCTCTTAATTCCTCTACAGTATTAAAGGGACTCGAGTACACCAGTGTCTTAAGATAGCCCCACAAGAAGAAATCTAAACTGTTGAGGTGTATGTGGACCTTGGTGGCCATCCTTGGAGCCCACGCATGTACCACATATTGTTTCTCATTACTAACGGAACATCATCAAGAAGCAAAGGCGACTGTTGTTGAAAAAAATTGAGGTAAGTCTGTCCTCAAGTCGCCCCAGTCGCGAATAGTTTCTGCCCGTACGTTAACCGAAAATTGGTGTTAGAAATGGTTTTCGGTTACGGCATAGGGATTTTCATCTGCCCACAAATGATTATTGTGGAAATTCTGAATGGCATTTCGAGAAAAATTAGAAACGTCCGTGAACAGAATCATTGATTCAAATTGCGGACTTTGCGTAAAATTTTTTGAAGATACCACTGACAAAAGGTCACACGCCTTGGAAAATCTCTAGATATAAATACTCTTAAAATATGGTAAGGATATAACAAAAAATCCATTAAAATTCTCTAAACAGTTTGATGGCAAATATTTAAGTGTCTAGCGATCTTCATCGTACTCGTTTCAGGATGTTCTTCGACTTCGTGCAGCGCTGCTTCCTCAATTTCAGGCGTTCTCACACTTAGAGGTCTAGCTTCAGATGTCCCTTTGGGGACAGAACCAGTTTCAACATGACGATGATGAATATCAGAAAAGGTTCGACTATCTGGAAAAGCACGATCGGGGTATCTCTGGTGACAAATCCGTCTGGCTTGCTCACCATTACCGTGGGCAACGCCATATACATAATATTCCAGACCAACTAGATATTTATTGCTAAATAGCATTCTTCAATTATTACATTACCTCGGACAATAGAACGGTTTTTATTTTTTTATTCAAAAACGGCGCATCGAGAGAAAACAATTCAAGAAAGATCGTTTGTTTTAAATTGATCGGGGAATTCGAAAATAATTTTTATTCGGAGAAAGCTATTGGCGTACCATTTTTTTCTTAAAAAATATCGAAATCGATATCCGTACGCACGCCACTGTTAAATCTAAAAATTATCTTTGCATTGAAAAATATGCAACTTTTTCAACTTTTGGTACGTACTAAATATCAATGAAATATTTGAAATGGTTCTGAAAATATTAATTAATTTCCAATTTTCTCCTAAAACTTCAACACCCCAAGGAAACATCTTTGATCCATAGCAAACTAACATTAATTTTTCATACAGATTCGCACCCTTAAGTATTCGCATATCATTAACGAACACCCTGTATATTTGCCTTTTGCCCTGTTTCTGTTTCAATATCTGATTACCAGATTAAGTAGGGTGAATGTGTTTGGACAGTTAGACAAAAGTAGAATGCAAAGTGTAATTACAGATTTTGTGTTCAAGAAAACACAACAAACGCTTTTGGAGGTGATCGTTTACAGGGTGGCGCAACGAAAAGGTCGCATCCCTATTTGGAACTCTCCAGACTAGGTCGCTTCGAGTGGCCGCCAAGATCTCCGGACTCCTTATTACCACAATTTCTAGAATTTCATTTGAAACTCAAACAGCTTCACAACGGTTGAAGATAGGTGTAAACTTTATTGTTCAAAAGTTACTAAAAACTGATATAAATATAAAAATTTAATAAAAAAAGAGCGGTTTCCATTTGGACCCTACCTTTTGCCTGCAAGGTTACATGCTGCGACCTTCTTGGAATTTTTAAAGGCTGAACATGCAAATATGTGGGATGATGTTATGTTAGATTTAAGAAGATTGACCTGGTTCCAGCTTGATGGTTGTCCAGCTCATTATTCGAGAATAGTTAGAAACTGGCTGGACGAAAAATATCCAGAAAGATGGATCGGCCGTGGAGGACCAGTCGCCTGGCCTCCACGATCCCCTGACCTAAATCCATTAGATTTCTTTGTGTGGGGATTTCTAAAAGAAAAAGTGTACCAGACTCCCGTAACCGCAAGAGATATGCTGATAGACAGAATCAGGAATGCATGTGATGAAATAAGGCCTTATTTGAATAATGTTCGATCATTCGTAGATGTGAATTGTTCATTGAACAATTATTGGGTTTACATTTCGAGCAACTACTTTAGATTTTGTATGTTTGTCCTAACTATCCAATAGCATTTTAGTTGTAAATAATTAATTTAATTTGTTAAAAATAATATTGGAAAATTAAACAAATTAATATTCTGTTTTTTTTATGTTTATTTGGGGTTAGGAATTATTGCTGTGTTTAAAAACACAATCTAAACGATCATCTTAATTTTACTTGTAATGCCCAAATCGAAAATGTAAAAAAAAAATTATTTTTTAAAAATCGAAATATCTCAAAAACGGCTAACTATTACGAAAACTCACAGGAGAGCTCTTTTATACAGAAAAGTGCGAAGAATCAGTTCTTTTATTAGAAAAGCAAAAAATTGCACTAAGAAAAATTTTTCGGGCATTTTAATACTACGGGTACAGTAGAGAACGCCCTCTAGCGGCCCATGGTTCGTTTTGTCGTACCAAAAAACCCTTGGGTACCAATTTTCACTGTTATACATCAAATATTGTTCGAAATATTCAAAAAAAACTATTTTAGAAAGTAAATTTAAACTCCCTGTATTTCGGAAGCCACGCATTTTTCGACCCATGTTTACATAGACTTTATGCATTAATTTTAAAAGTTCTATCGAATCTTAAAGTTATGCAACAATAAACTGAAACACCCCGTATATAAGTGGGATTTAAGAGACCCGGTGGGAAAATGGTACCCCAAAGGGCGTTAAAGAGTTAAGCGATATTCAACCAACAAACGAACTCCCGGGATACAGATAAATAAAATACATCAGTATCAAAACTCTCATTTAAAACTGAAAGAAGTCTCTGTGGTCAGAAACGTCGTTAACAGTAATACAAACATATGGTTTCAAGTAACGATCAGAAAAACATGGAGGATTATCAGCATGAAGTTTCATGCGTTGCAAGAAAATAGTGTTTAAAAAAGCATCTCGCTCAAAAATCGATTTTTCGACATGTCGACGTCTCCTCAGGGCTACAAAATGTGAAAAACAGATTTATAATCTGTTTTGTTTTGTCGTTATTTGTTGTTGTTAATTTCAAATTATACGTGGTAAAAATAAAGAGTATTTTTTTGTATCTTAATACTTGATAAATGCTGTAATAAAACTAAGAATTTGATGTGGGAAGGATATCAATAAAACACAAAAAATTCATGAAAGTCTTCAATATGCAACAAATAAGGATTTATAAATATATCTTCTATCAACAAGTGATCATTATTATTGCCTATATATACTACAGAAATTTTTATAATAATAGCATTTGAATATATATTTTTATGTCGATTTATGCAAATATTTATATTTTAAGGACTAGAAAAATTCGTACCATTCATTTTATAAGTATATAATCTTTGAACTATCAAATTAGAGGTAAAAAAAAACTGGAAAAACATACAAAAAGGTGAGAAGAGAAATGTTTTCACAAAAAACAGAACATCAATTGTAGAAACTACATTCTCAAAATATAAAAATGCATATTTCTGAACGTTGATGTCATACATCGTACATTAGACTAAATTAGGAAAACAAGTTTATACACATTATATACAGTATTTTTGATAATTGAATATCAATATTTGACGAATTTCAAGTTGATTTTAAGAAGAAAACTTCACGTGAACGTATGGCCTAAACATCTTAACTTTGGAGATACAGGATGGTAAAGTTTTCAATATAGAAAAGTCAGTGGCACGCCACTAACTTCTCTTAAGATAAAAAATTTAAATCTGTATTCAATTATGATCAGTTTTGATCTTTTCAACTATTTTGTCCGGGGCACGATTTTCACCTAAAAAAATTAAAACACATTTCTCTGCATGGTGATATCATCACGTTAATAATATTGTTAGATACATAAAAATAGATTTTAAACCATACACATATTAAGGAATGATTTATTTCTCAAAACTTTACCACCCTGTATCTCAAAAGTTACGACGTTTAGGACGTCCGGTCATATGAAGTTTTCCTCTTAGATTGGACCCAAAAATCGACTCCTTAAATATTGATATTCAATTAACACCCTGTATATGCAATAATAATACGTATTGCTAAATACAAATTCATGATATATTTCGTTAACTAATTATAATGGAATTCAGTTTAAATTAAAACTAATTACTTAACCACTCACATTAAATAGTATGGCCGTTATATGCGCAATTTGTATCCGTACAAGTGGAATATGCTTCAAAATTAATTATTACGATACAAAACGTGAGATCAAAAAATATCAGAAAGCTCTATTTCGGAGATACATTTTAGCCGGATTTCAGCATCTTGTTCAATCTTTCTATTTCGGAACCGAGAGTGTCCACACTTTCCTAGAAAAAAATTATAATCAATACCAACGTTGGTCCAGGGAGAATCGCTACAGAAGCCAACAAGAAAAATTTGTGCTGGAAAGGTAACAAAGTAGAGTTCAAATATTTCTTGAATGCAATCAATTTTTCCGTAGTAGTTCTAAATTTCGAGATATTCGTGGTTCGATACTTGAAAGAGTGCAAGGTATGCTATTTTCGAATCAGAAAAACAATATGAAAAGTCGAAGTTTAAACAGAAATTAATAAATTCCCAAAGCATTTCATGCGGTAATATTGTAAATCTTGATTTTTTAACCGCCTATAATTGACTTATCATGTCAATTGTGAACGAGCTTAGATATTAAAATTGGAGGCGGATATTCGCTTACTTACATCTTAAAGTATGCGTCTGCAACTTTACGATCTAAGCTCACTCACCATTTAATAAACATCACTGACATGATAACAAAATCATAAGCAATTAAAAAATGAAGATTCATATAAGAGTTAGTTCCAACAAGCTATTACGATCTATTTCAGGACTAATTCATGTAACCAGATCGTGCTTTTGGAGGTACAAGTGCCTTAACGTAATAGTATAGTCATTTTTGGTGATGAAAAATGTAAGTTGATCGTACTTTTGGACTCACCAGTGCCTTAATGTAATAGTATAGTCATTTTCACAGGTAGTTTATGATAGAATAGTTTTGGTGATGATATACGTACAAAGTGCTTTTGGCAGCACACTAACTCCAACGCATAGTTCGGTCATTTTTGGTGTTGACTCGATTGAGTTGTGATTTTAATAATGGAATGCGTTATATTTACTTTTTGGTTGTTATTTCACAATAGAGGCAACACATCTGAAATTATCAGTTCATATCGAGACCGGATTTTCGGTAATCCAGTTGACTTTATAGTACGGTCGTTCCATATAACAGAGCTTATAATACAAGTATTTGAGTAACGCAAAGTGTACAATGCAGTATTTCAATGATCTTTTTAGCACAGTCGTTTTATATATGCCATACATATAGAGCATTCGTAATTCAATACGTAACATACCAAGAGCCGAAATTGAAGCGATGAGATGCTTCAGGAATTTTAGGGTCAAAACTTGATAACAAAAAAAACGGAAATTAATGCCCCCCCCCCCCCACTTTATGGTTCAGAAGGATAGGTTCCCTCACATTGTTAGTTGGACACCCTGTATATTAAAATGTTCCTTTTCTAAAATTGTTTTTCGTTCGCGTCGAAAATGAAATATTCTGTACATTTTGAAATATTAAATCACTTATATATCGAAAACTAGATACTACTACCTTAAAAAGTAAGACATATTTTTGAAATCAATGCATCAAAAGCACTCAAGTTTTCACTTCCCTGGCACGAAAATAGCTGATGAGGAAATTTCAGTTTGACTGAAACATTGACAAAAATTGTGTGACAATCCAAATAAGAATGAAACTGTAATGTGCATATATCGTAAATAAAGATGTTTACTTACCTTGAGGGTAATGTTTTTAAGCAAAGTATCTTCTAGTACAGCCTGTAATTTTCTATTTATATCTAGTGATAATTCAAGAGTTAGATTATTATCTGCAATGCGGGAACTATACAGGGAAGCCATTATTCCATTCAATTTCGCTAGCTTCGCCTGCAGAGAAAAGAATAATCAAAACTTCATTATCAAATATTGGTAAGGTGGCACGAAAAACTAAAAGAACCTTAAAACACCCTACACACCAACAAGCTTACTCAAAGGAAAAACAGTTTGATACAAAACAAAAACGGTGCAGATGTGACTATAACATACAGTGCAAAACTAGGAATTTTCTAAAGTGTGCTAAATAGACCAGAGCAAAACTTACCAAAATTTCGAAGACTAAATGATCAAAAAAGTGAAGTATTAAAAAATGTTACAGAAGGATGAATACTGAATGCAGGCTACTTATTATTATTGTGTTGTACCAACCTTATTATTATCCATAGAATTAGAAGACATAGTTCCAGTTTGCTCTCGCAAAATATAATTTTGAAGTAACTTCGATTTTTTCTGGAGTTCCGCTACTAAAGTGTTGACGTGTTCTTCTAAAAAGTCTATTTTTTCCGATTTTTTTGCGCTTATCCTCTGAAGTTTTACGATGTGCTCTATGAGAGTTTGCTTGTCTATTCCCACATCTGCAGGCACGATCTTAAAAATAAAATATAAACTGTCAGAGAAGAGACTGACTAAAAACAGAAATTACTAACAGTTTCACAATTATGTGCGCCAGAAAAATTATAGTATACTCACTTTAACTTGTTCTGGTTCAGCTGAACATTCCCTCTCAGTCACATTCGAACTAGAGTTTGAACTACTTTGACTTGCTGTATCAGCGTTTTCAAAATCCTTCAATTTTCTTCTACTATGTTGCAATTCTTTGTTTACTTCCTGCAAATAAAATGATGGTAAATTCGAATGTTCAAGAACATTATCTTTTTGCTGCTGAGTATTTCAGGTTAAGATCACTCAAGGCCCTGCAAAGTCAAAAATCAAAGGTGCAGGTTTAGAATCAGAGAAAACGCTTCAAGATAGTGAACATTCAAAATATAGATATCTTTACCCTCAAAGACATTTCATATTTCCTCTTCACCAAAAGAAGTTCACCCTTCAAATCCACGATTTCTTGACTATAACTGACGCACAGTTTCTTTTTTTCTTCTAATTCTGTGGACAGTTGACTTATTTCCTCTGTATATTTACTTCTTTCTTCTAACGATTTACTAGATAACATTCTGGCCTTGGTCTCATGCTCTTTTATCTGTCTTTTTAGTACAGCTTGTTCACAAGTCAGTTGCTGAACCTGCGATGGATTATCAAAAAAAAAATAACAAATATTTTCTAAAACGACAGGATAGATAAAAAATCAAGTTGGATTTAGAAAAAAATATTCCACAGAAACGGCAATCCAAATGGTGGTGGAAGACTGAATATATTGTAACAATATTTTTCGAAAGGGCATTTGAAACTATAAATAGAGAAAAGTTGCGTCAGTATGGCTTCAAAGAATCAGTATTACACATTTTACAAAATTATTTAGTAAATAGAAGTTAAAAAACTAAAGTTGGAAATATTATATCAAGTGTTCAAAATGTATCAGTAGGGGTGCCACAGGGGAGTAAATTAGGGCCGTTACTATTTATATAAATGATATCTCTGACATTTTAGAACACTATAAAATTCAAATATTTGCGGACGATACACTTATATATATAGCACATAAGCATTTGGACACTGCTTTAGAACTGTTAAATAATGATATTAAAAAAATTATGAATTGGTTAAATGTCAATAAACTTAAATTAAACACTAATAAAACAAAATGTATGTCAATAGGGAAACATTTAGGAAAATACAATTAGGCTCATGATTAATGATGAAAAAATCGAAGTAGTCGAGTCATTTAAATATCTTGGTATATATGTGGATAGTAAGCTACTGTTTCACGATCATTATGAATACATTATTTCAAAAATATCGAAAAAGTTAAAGTACTTCTATAGAGTTTCCCATAATCTAAGTATGTATTCCACAAATTCTACAAAATAAAGCTATGAGAATCATTTTAAATGAAAAACAAATATACTAGGATTAAGTCTATGTTAGAAGAACTGCAGAGGTTGGATGTGAAAAATTTCATATATGAAACTAGAGGCAGTATAGATTTTCATCTGCAAAATTGTAATAGTAGCATAACTAGTAAATCTATATTTCACAAGGGAGTATTTGAATTTAATAAACTGAATAATGATATTAAACAAAGTTCAAATTTAAAAATGTTTAAGGTGAAATTGAAACATCACTTTATGAATAATCAAAATACATAGTGACGTAATTTCAATTTCAATAGACAAGAATGTAAAATTACAGAAAATGGATTGAAGAAAATATAAAATAAAATTGACATTGTAGCATTAATGCTAAATAAATCTTCAACAACAACAACATACCTTGGTTTCCATAGACGTGAACTCCGACTGAAGTCTGACATTTTTCTCGGTCAACTGTTGAGTAAATATAAGTAGTTCTGCCTCTTTTACTCTACAAGACTCCATGTCACTTTCGAGATCTGAATTCCTCTGTTTCAGCAACGTCACTTGTTCATTACATGCTGCTAGTTGATCTTGTTCACTGAAAATATATTTTTTTAATCATCAATGCGGTACCCCACCCCATCTTTTGCCCTATCTTGACACCCTGGCAGATCCAACTTTCCAACAAGATAATGCCCGACCACATGTTGCAAGAGTCACAATAGACTTCTTTCAACATAATGATGTCACATTGTTACCATGGCCACCAAGATCTCCCGACTTATCCCCAATTGAGCACGTGTGGGATATGATGGGTAGGAGATTGCTCAATTTGCAACGTCCTCCTCAGACTCTAGAAGCACTTCGAGAGGAGTTGGTGGTTGCCTGGAATGAGATACCACAGGAGGACATTGACCACCTGATCAGAAGCATGCCTAGGCGCGTTGGAGAATGCGTAGCACATCAGGGTGCATCCACACATTATTAAAGGTCAAAGGGCTTTAAAGCAGTGCAATCTTTTTGAAATTTTTATCATTTACTTATTATGCTTCATTAAGTACTTGTACAAAATTTTATTAAAATAAAACCATTTAAACTGGGTGTTCGGATTTATATGTCACTTAGTATACATACATATTTTTCTTGTTTGAGTTTGTTACGCATTGCTCAGTCGGCAGTGACCTCCAAGACGATGCAGCATCGCACCGTGCATGCAACACCAACGATTTCCCAGTTATTTCGAATTATGAGCACATTCTACATCAGACTTTCATTTTCCAGTTGTTACCGGGATCATGGTTGAACGTTTTAATAATTGATTAATACCGAAGACGTTACATTAACTACCCCCTCAAAAAGAATCTGGAAATGATCAGAGGCCTCTGCAACGTCAAAAAACAACGTTAAGCAATTTTTATTTTTCCGTGTTTTTGTCTCTAGCTCCGCCACCACTAGACCGATTTTCAAAACTACGAAGCTTTTTCATCCTTGGCATAGTAGTAACCTTGATTGCTTCTCAAGTAATTTGCGGACATAAAATTACCGCACAGACCGACAGTGACATGGTTTTTCGTCAAAAACATAATATCTCAATTTGGTAATTTTTCGCGATTACAATATTTTATATTTTTTAGACTTCTCATCCATCATTATGGATATGTCGGCTGAAAATAAATCAAAATGACTCACTGTTTCAATTGTAGCTTCAGTTGTCCTAAATGGACACTCTTAGCTTGTAAATCTATAACATCTTGCTTCTGTCTATCCGTATACCCCCTCAATTCGCTCAATTTCTGTTCTATTTCCAACCTCTCTCTTTCTAACTGTTGAACCTTCAATGAAAGTTTGTTGTTTTCCTCTAACATATCTTTTTGTTTCTCTTGCAGCCTCTGAAGTTCAGTCTGCAGTGATTTTAGTTGATCTTCTTTGTCGGTCTTTTCGTGTCTAAGTAGGATCAGTTGGGCTTGCTGTTCCTGCACTTGCTGATCTAGAATTTAAGCGAAACTTATACATATTATTAACGTAAATTATACGACACCTCCCTTGTACGGACGCTTTTAGTCGGTCCCGATGGTGACCATCCAAAGAAGGTTTCACTATATATGAAAAAGTAATAGACAATTCATTACATTTAAGAAAAGAAAAATATAAAAACGACGAATTTTATGAACTTATCCGACACCTGACACAGCTGTATTTCCTTATTGTTTATAGCTTTTGAGAAAAAGTACTTCTAAATGAATGACTTATTTCATAACAAGAAACATTGGAAAAATTGTACAATACAAACCCAAGGTATGTGCACGGTTCTCTTCAGAACATTTAAAGGTTTTGATGGTTTCGTGAGCATCCTTCCTAACCTTATCTATCTGGTTTTGAATCTCTTGCAATTTTGTATTCAGTGCTTCAACTTTAGCTTGACTTTCCTGTAAAAATGTATAACTTAGCACGTTAAAAAATAGTGTCTTAGAAAATAGTGTCCAACCTTGTGCGCTTCCATTTCATTCTTCAAGTTATTTTGTGACCATTTCAACTTTGTGTTCAACGCATTCAAGTCCGCTTTAGTATTTTCTAATTCTTGCTGTGACTTTTTCAAGTCATAACACTTATTGTCCAACATTTGGCACAGTCTGCTTTTCTCCAACATCATAGTTTGATATTTGTGTTGCCAGATTTCGTTTTCTTTCAGAGCCTCTTTTAACTTTTTTTCGGCAACCTCTTTTTGTTGTTTTTCAATCAAGATGTTTTTCTCTCCTGTGGCGTATCTGATAACCATGGTTTCTTTTTCTTTAACGGCCGCTTCTTTTCTCTCTACAGCCTGGTATTTTGAGAAAATATTATGAAAAACACAGGACAATAGTTATTGTGTGCTATTAAGAATCAAGCAGTATAGTGTCCCCCAAGTTTATATTTACATTAATGTTTCTAATTTAAATAATTTCTTTACGGAAAGAAGGCATCTTCATAGCTAAAAATGCAAGTACAAAAACGCACTAAAAAACTAGCTCAAATTTATAAGAATGACAGTATACTACTTGTGGTAATAAATATGAATACCCTATAATGAAACCACACCTAGCCTACATACAAAAAACTTGGAAAAAATGATATACAGAAGTTACTAGTAATATTTCCAGGGCAGCAAGTAGATCAAAAAATAGCACAAGATTCAGTAAGATATTGAGATGTTGAAGTTATATTTTAAAATGGAGAAAAATAATATGTTTTGAAGCCCTCTATCACCTGACTTCCGTTAGTCCATTACTAACTTTACACCCTGTATAGTGAAGGCAGATCAAAGGAGACAAAGTTGCTTGAAATATGTAAACAGTATGGTAGTTCAAAGTCTGAAGTGCAGGATCAGATTAAAGGTGAAATCAGTTTCTTGTTCATTTTTATGTATTTTTGATAGACATATTTGATTCAGTATGAGTGTGTTTAATTCCTTTTCTTCAAAGTCTCAATGACAACTGATTTAAAATCTCCATTCTACTATCACAAATTTTTAAATACAAGTACCATTTTGTTTAATATTCATTATATCTTTATAAAATTACAGAAAATCTATAAGCAATGTGCTTATTGTTGGCGAAAAGTTAAAAACTTGTTTGTTTATGATAACTTTGTTGTTATTTCTGGATGTACATAGTTTCAGCTCTAGAATTACCCTAAATTTCTTGGCCAGTATGATACTTACCACTTCAAGTTTATCATTCAAATCCTTCACAACTTGTTCAAGGTATATTCGAGTCTCCTCTAAATGTTTTATCCTAGAAGCGTTCTCCTCGATCATTTTTTGCTGGTAAGCTACTGTTTCACTGAGTTTTGTGTCCACTGAACTGGCTGTCGATTCATTTTCATCTGTATCGGTTGTAGAAACGTCTGTGTCACTTATACTCTCAGATGATTTCACACAGTTTTTGGCTTGCTCAGTTTCATTGCTATCATTCATATTAGTCGATTTTAACAGAGGTCCTTCATTAATTTTATTTTCATCTTCTGCCACATGACTTACCCTTGCAGTTGATTTTGGACTGTTTTCCTCGATTTTTACAGTTTTTACGATTCCATCAATTTCATGTGGTTTTTCCGATATATCAGGATGATCTTTAGCATTTTCTAAGCAAGGTGTCTCAGCTTTTTGATCTGTTATAACGACACAACTTGAGACTTCTTCGTTTGGTGAAGATTTTTCAGCAAACATATGGGGCGCATTCTTCGAGTTCTCGGCCATGTTCAATTAAATTTATCAGTTACTCAGTAACATTACATTATGTCAAACTTAGTATTGAGGTTCAAAACAGATTTCCAAGTACATTTTCTGCATTGTGCATACCTTTTACATTTTTTATTTATAAATCAAAACAAACTTCAAATCATCTGAAGGTGACGTTTGACGTACAACTGACGTACAACTTGATTCATTACAGAAATCTATAAAAAAGTGAATGTAAATCTGTCTCATAGATGTCGCCCTAAAGAAATTCATAGTGTACTTGCTTCGATGCCTTCTTCAAATATATGCAACACATCTGTAATCTTACTAGATCCATGCTCAAAGCTATATTTCACGAGTATCCGTCACGCTCATAATTTTCAGTTATCTTGAAGGTTTTCCCATCCCAGCTCCTACAATGTACCTATTTGCACGCGTCTACCACGGATGGCGCCACTGTAGATTTCTACCGTACCGACTTGACGCTTAAAGCAGCACACCCAATCAGATTCAAACTTTTCGTAACTGACAACTTGTCAACGGTTCGTTCATCGGTGTTCGGGCAGTCGTTGATATATTTTAAACGGAAACCGTTACACCACCTTTTATCCAACTTTTTACCAAAATAACGTAGATTTAGTAACGTCAAAATGTCGAAAAAGACTTCAGAAGAAGCCTCGGTGATCCCAGATATAGTCTTCGATAAATCAACCAGGACTACATACAAGAAAGGTAAATTCTACGGGAAGGTAAGTTCAGATAAAAAACGTTTTTCGCCATTTTATGAACGGTCTGTTTTTATATCCATGCGTAGCATAAGTATTCGAGCAGTATCAGCGATAAAGATGTGTTGTGGATTTGGTTTATCGACGTCTTTAACTCGAGGCACCGTTTCACATATCACACATCCTAAATTGTATCAGTTTTCCTGTCTACATTGCATGTGCGTTTTATAAAAAGCAGTAAATGAAGGGTCTTATCAAGAGTATAAGGCATAAGCGGGTCTCTCACAAAAATTAGGGCCACCTTTTCACCTTGAATTGTGAGTTTGTACCAGTAATTTTGAGTATTGTTAAAGGAGCAGTATAATGTTTTTCACTAGCATTTGGAGAAGTCATCATCATTAACCACAGTGCCCCACTGAGAAGTAGCTTTTTACTCATCACCTAAATAATGACATTATTTGAAAGTGTACCTTGTTAACTTCAATATTAGCTACTAAATAGCTACCCTTCTTGAGTTTTTCGATAATTGGGGAAGGATTTGAAAACAACCACTAACGTAAAAAATCACCATTAATGACCACAGAGTCTTATTGGGAAGTAGGATTTATCTTCCCAAGTAAATACTGAAAACAAAAGGAAATAGGTAAATAATGATAACTTTTGAAATAGTATCATTGTTGGCTCAGCACAGTAGAAATCTAGTAATACCTCAGCCTTTCTGAAGGAATGAAAAGACTATGAAAATCAAGGAGGTCATAAAGGCATCCTACAAATGTAGGAACTACTGATGATAATCTAAGTGCTAGTCTTATTGCACAAGTATCATTGAGATATTAATAAAAACCTTTTTCAACTAAACTTTGACCCCAGTATGTTAGAAACCAGACTTTTTACTTTTACTTTTACTTAAAGGTTGAAGAATGCAAACTAGTAATTACGGTCTATCACTAAGTAATGCCTTGTAGTGTTAGTAGTGAAAAAATTCTGTACAGACCTTGTTTGAGAAGACCAGTATTGATCTTGCACATTATATGAGAGTGCTATGCAATAATGGTCCTCTTCTCAACCTTGGTATGTAATGTACTATTTTGATGTCCTCTATATAAAACATGATTTCCTTTTCTATATATTGTCATAGGGTGGCTTTGGAAGATGCTACGAACTGATAAACTCGTCAACAAACATGCTTTATGCCGGAAAAATTGTTTCGAAGGAACTGATAGCAAGTCAAAACCAAAAAGAGAAGATGACACAGGAAATCCATATACATCAAACATTAAGCCACGTAAACATCGTTGGATTCCATAGCTTTTTTGAAGATAATCATAATGTGTATATAGTCTTAGAACTGTGTAGAAAAAGGGTAAGTTCAAGTTGATAAAACGCCACTGAATTATATCCAAATAATTTGTTATCTACAATATACATGATTAAGCATTTTTCGTATGAATTATAGTCCATGATGGAACTGCATAGGAGAAGGAAAACTCTAACTGAACCTGAAACAAGGTATTACATGAAACAGATTCTGGCAGGGGTACACTATCTTCATTCTAATAGGATTATCCACAGAGATTTGAAATTAGGAAATCTGTTTTTAAGTGATGACCTGATCGTCAAAATAGGTAAATCCAAGCACTCAAATTATATCACATACGTATCTTGATACTGAAATTCAAATTTACTGCATCATTTTCGTTTCCGAATTATTTTATAGGTGATTTTGGCCTTGCTGCTAAGATTGAATTTGATGGAGAGAGAAAAAAGACATTGTGTGGCACTCCGAATTACATAGCTCCTGAGATTCTGAAAAAAACAGGACATTCTTTTGAAGTAGACATATGGTCTGTGGGATGCATCATGTATACTCTCTTGGTCGGCAAACCTCCATTTGAAACCGAGACTCTCAAGGAAACTTACGCTAAAATTAGGAAATGTGATTATAAGTAAGTCGAAAAAAAGTTTTTAATATCTATTTTCTTTGGGTAAAAATATGTTAACTTACCCACTTGGGACAATGATTGGGAGAAATTTCCTAGTTTTATTTTAAAAAACTTGGGGGTGGCGGTTGTAGGCAGTGGGAGGGTTTATCTCAATTTGTTGACGTTAGTACACACCTATTAGACATATTTCGCACATCATAGATTTCTCCGTACTTGACGCCATGTTTTTGCTCCGGACAAAGTTTTTTTAACTTGTAGTTATGAAGTTCTCTAATATTTTTCTCTGAAGTTAACTTTTTATAAGCTTTTTATAAGCTTTTGAGTCCAGAAACAAATATAACGAAGCGGTTCGCAATGCCAAAAACCAGCATGATATAAAAGTTAGGCACAGGGTAATGTCGCAGCGCAATGGCAGTCGGTCTTTCTGGACGCTGGCCAAGCATATTGAAAAGAACTTCTCACACAGTAGCCTTCCACCACTTACGTGTCAGGATGGAACTATTGTATTCGACTCAAAGGCCAAGGCGGAAGTGCTAGCCAAGATCTTTGCTGCCAACTCCACCATGGACGTCCCCACCAACGCCAAAGTGCCGTCAATTCAAAGGGTTCCCCACACTATGCGGGAGGTAACATTCAGGCATAAGACCGTAAGACGAGTGCTCTTGTCGCTCGACATCAACAAAGCTTCTGGTCCGGACTTGATTCCTGCCATTGTACTGAAGAGATGTGCAGCTGAGCTTGCTCCAGTTCTTTCGCGTCTCCTCCAGATATCTTATGAATCCGGCACCTTCCCAGAAAACTGGAAATTTGCTCATGTACCGCCCATCCCAAAAAAAGGATCTAAAACCGACCCTTACAACTACAGGCCTGTAGCTCTGCTTTCTGTCATAAGTAAAGTGATGGAGAGGTGCATAAATCGCGAGCTTCTGGTTTACCTCGAACATCACAGCTTGATTAGCGACAGGCAGTACGGTTTCCGGCACCAACGATCCACAGGGGACCTCCTAGCTTACGTCACGCAACTGTGGAGTAAACTCATTCAGTCTCATGGTGAGGCTCATGTCGTTGCTCTTGACATCACGAAAGCGTTCGATCAGCTGTCGTCGTAATTGACGGATTCTCCTCTTCATCCCACAACGTCAACGCGGGTGTTCCCCAGGGATCGGTCTTGGCTCCAACACTGTTTCTCTTACATATCAAGGACCTCCTTTCCTGCACGATCAACCCAATCCACAGCTTCACTGATGACAGCACTCTACATGCAGGAATTCAGAGTGACAAGCCGATCTCTGCCGCTGAGCTGGAAAAAAGAAGACTAGCGACGACTTCTTCTCTGACAAGAGACCTGGAGGCTATCACTGCTTGGGGACGCAACAATCTTGTACAGTTCAATGCTTCCAAAACACAGTACTGTACTTTGACGAACAAAAAGCGTCCTAGCGCTCATACAGTTTCGATGGACGGTCGAGTTCTACCAAAGAGCCATTCATTTCGGCTGGTCGGAGTCCAGATCACCGAGGACCTGATCTGGCATGAACACATCTCTTTAATAGCTGCAGCTGCTGGGAAAAAGCTAGGCTATTTGTTTAGGGCTAAGAAGTACTTTTCTCCGCATGACCTTCTCACTCTATACAAGGCCCAGATAAGGCCTAGCCTCGAGTATTGCTGACACATTTGGGGTGCTGCCGCCCCGACTACATTGTCCATGCTCGATGCTGTCCAGAGGAGGGCGGTCCGACTGATCGATGACTCTTCTCTAACAGACAGGCTCGGGACTCTTTCGCACCGGCGGGCCGTAGGCGATCTAGCTCTTTTCTATCGCTACACCAACGGGCTTTGCTCCTCAGAGCTCTCTTCCATGATGCCGCCGCGCGATGTGCCTGCCAGACAGACCCGCCTGACTTCGTTGTCCCATCCTAACCGTGTCAAACTTCGTACATCCAGAACTGGCCGATACGACCGCTCCTTTGTCCCGAGGGTGTCTAGATTGTGGAACAAACTACGGGAGGAAGCTTTTCCCAGTTCTGCTAACCTTAGGCAGTTCAAAAATCGTATTAACAAAATTTCTTTGGGATCATCATAGCAGCCGCGGTGTTCCGGCATTTAGGCTTCTGCCTGCGCGGCTGTTTCGATATAAAAAAAAAAAGCTATAAGTGCTAAAAAACCCTGAGTAATGCCATTATCAATGCTCAAAAGCTCTGACAAAAACCATTCTTTTTGAGGCTGCTAAATGTAGGCAGTATTTTGACTTCACAATGCCTATAACTTGAAAACTGTCAACTTAAAAAAAAGTGATTATAAAAACAAATGTTCCCATCGATGTGAGGTTTCTGTCTGGTTTACTAATTAAATAAACAAAATTAATTGTTTAAAAAAAAGTAGTTTATATCCAAAATGTTGAAAAAACCAACTATAAAGTTGCTCTACTTGACTAACCGTTTAATGATACCTATAAATTAAGTAGGCTGTTAGTTGACACTTATTTTCAGTAAATTTTTTTTAGCTGTCAACTAGTTGACAAATTAATCAAGAATATTTCAGGTACCCTTATGGTAGTACTGATAATTATTGTATGTATCACTGCAATATCTTAACCTACGATGTTCAGCAACAGACTATATAGCGCTAGTTTTAAAATGTTGCTCAAGTAAGTGATATCTTACGAGAAGCTAACCTGAAGAAACTCAACTCTAAATGTTGTTTCACGTGAAATTTTTGTCGGTTTCAGAATATCAGCGTTCATTAGTGCGGTGGCAAAAGGTATGATCGTGCTGATGTTGCAACCTGAACCGAGCAAACGTCCCCCAGTCGAGAAACTGATGCAACACCCTTTCATGATACACGGTTATTGTCCCAGCAGCCTTCCGGTCAGTTCACTCACAATGGAACCCAGGTTCCATAACGTTGATGCTATGGCGAGTGGCAGAACGCCACTGTTGGAGACTAAACAATGTAAGAATTTGAAGTTGCGTTGTTATTTTAGGATTTCGCTTGAAGGAAACTTTAACTATGGTTTCCACCTGTTTAGAAAAATTAGGAAGCTACAGTAATGGACAACAGTATACAGGGTTATCCAAATTAAGTGTCCACCATTGGTAACTTTGTTATTAGTAAAAATACAAAGTTGTTTAAATTAGCAAACTAGTAGCATTTTTAACGCTGGTAAAAATGAGAAATAAAAAAAAACAATTGAGAGTCGTTATTTTGATTTTTTTCAGTAAAATAACATTTTTTTAAATGGAAACCCCTGTATATTATATTTTTTTCTGTTAAAGCATCAAATTTTAAACAAAAAAGTTCATATAATGACTTTTCCGCTAAAGTTAAAAATAAAGTCAAAATAACGATAAATATTTTTAATTATTTGCAGTATTATAATATTAAGACGGCTATGAAAACGCAACATGGCGTTCGCGATTTGACAGCATTAAGATAAGCGACCAATTGTTAAACTGGACATACTCGCAACTAGAAGGCTTTGGAAAACAATGATAAAATAAAATAATGTCAAACATTAGTGTAAATACTTGTTTATAAGGTTTATTGTGTCATTAATTTAAAGAAAAATGTTCTCCCATGAAAAAAAGTGTGATATGTTAGAATGCTATTTAGTGTGCAGAAAATCCTCCTTGAGAGCAAGAGAATACTACAGTGAATTATATCCCGCTCGCATTCAACCGTATGAACGATATTTTCTGAGACTTTATCGAAAATTTAGGGGCAACGAAAATGTTTTTGCTAAAACAAGGGCAAAAAAAGAATTCATAATAAGCGAGGCCACGGAAATTGCAGTTATTGGATATTTTGAAGCTTATCGTGAGAATTCAATAGCAGATATTCTCAAGGACTCTAATTTCAGTTATGGTACTGTTCAAAGGATTTTAAAAAAATACAAATTTATTCCGTATAAGTACCGACCAGTTCAAACGCTTTTGGCAGGGGATCCAGAGAAGACTTGTTTTTTGCCATTGGTATCTTAGCTTCTGTCGCCAAAATGTAACTTTCGTTACCTTTTATGGACAGATGAATCAAATTTTTCAAATTCTGGAATGTTTAATAGAAAAAACCACCATTATTGGTCAAGAGAAAATCTTTTGTTAGTACATCCAAGAGGCCCACAAGTCCGTTTCAGTTTCAACGTTTGGTGCGGTATAATTGGGTCAAAAATTGTTGGCCCGTTCTTTTATGAGGGAACCCTAACTGGTGAAAGATATGTGGAATTTATGTCAGAAATTCTGACTAATTTCTTAGACGAATTGGATCTTATAAGTGGACATCATCTGCATTTTCAGCAAGATGGCGCACCTGCCCACAACTCCAGAGGTACTTATCATTTTCTAAGTACTACTTTTAATGATCAGTGGATAGGAACAAATGGCCCAATACAGTGGCCTCCCAGATCACCAGATCTAAACCCACTTGATTACTTCTTGTGGGGTTACTTAAAGAACCAAATTTACAAGCGAAGGTACGATAACCTTGACGCGTTAAAGACTGCAGTTAGGGAAAAGATAACCCAGATAGATGGTAGGACCATACTTAAGACAGTTCGAGCAGTTGAAAAACGTGCCCAAAAATATATTGAAGAACAAGGTGGTGTTTTCGAGCATCTTCTTTAAAAAAAATTGTTATTGTATTTTGTAAGATTATAAGTTGATGTTGAAAATAAAGTTTGTCGATACAATTTAATTGTTTCAGATTGGAGGCCATAACTTCAACAATTTGTAACCTAGGAGAAAAGTTATTGTGAGCTTTTTTGTTTAAAATTTGATGCTTTAACAGAAAAAAATATAATATACAGGGGTTTCCATTTAAAAAATGTTATTTTACTGAAAAAAATCAAAATAACGACTCTCAATTGTTTTTTTTTATTTCTCATTTTTACCAGCGTTAAAAATGCTACTAGTTTGCTAATTCATACAACTTTGTATTTTCACTAATAACAAAGTTACTAATGGTGGACACTTAATTTGGATAACCCTGTATAGACAAATACGAACGAATTCATTCTTCATTGCTCCATAAACAAATGCCTTATTATCAGAAAAACTAAATTCCTTGTTTTTACATTACCTGCAATGAACACTATACAAGTCTGAATATAAGCACTTTTTTATGATAATACAACAATACTAATTTTTCTCTATACTTTCGTCCATTACTGTAGGTGGTCCGACATAATTAACAAATATTCAAAGAAATGAGATCACCACCACTGCAAGTTTGATATCCAACGAAAACTTCGTTACAAAAGTAAATCTTCTGTGTAACTCGAAGATTCACTTATTGTCATTTCGTCTTTTTTTGCAGATAATTCACGATTGTTGCCCAAGGAACCGTATTCTATCGCATCTGGTCAAATGTCGAATGCAAAGGTTTTTAATGGACCAGAGAATTTCAAGATCATTAAAGCGATGATCACAAAGGTGAAACCTTATTATTAATGCCGTGTGCGAAGTTCATACAGAATATATTACGAAGGCAATGACAATATGATTCAATAAAAAAATAAATACTGTCATTTCCGTGAATGAAATATGTTTTTACGGTATTAACGTAAATAATCGACAGGGAATTAAAAAACAAATAAAGCTTATCCCCCCTTTTTTTTAGGTATTGAAATCCAAACCCTTGAGGAACAATCATGGTTACATAGACGAAATGACTGATCCAGCGTCTCAACCTTTGATTTGGGTGTCGAAATGGGTGGATTACAGCGATAAGTATGGATTTGGCTACCAGCTGTGCGATGAAGGAGTTGGAGTTATGTTCAATGATACGACCAAACTGATTATGCTGCCGAATGGAATGTAAGTTATATATTTTTCATGTCTAAAATACAGCACAATAACGCAGCTCAACAAAGTAAAAAAAAGTTTTTCCTCTACTTATTTTAAATACTTCTGATGCGCTGATCTTAAATATGCCTTTCATTTCTCCCTAGTTGTAATTTTCGAGATTAAACCAACTGCAAAATATCCTTTTTCGACCCCGAACAACAGTGTGAAAAAAAGGAGTAGTAGTAGAAAGATTTATTTAGCACATTTGGCTACATAAACAGAACAATTGTAAACAACTTAGAACTAGTAAATTCACGCCATATGGTGTATGATGTAAATGCTGGGCCGCCTATAATTGTAGATTTAACAAGTGATTTCTCAATTTTACTTTAAATTTTGTCAAAGTTTTCTGGTCTTTTATCTCCGAGTATAATTTATTATATTCAATCAACCCTTGATGGAATACAGATTTGTAGCATATGTTATACTTTTTGGTCATTAAATGGAAGTCATCTTTATTTCTGGTATTATGTAAACGATGGTCGACATTTGATGATGTTAAATTAGTTAGACTTGATGGAAATATATTATTTTTTACTTTATAAATGAATATCATTACAAGATATTTGATAAAAAATTTTACATTGAGCCATTTTAATTTGCTAAGCATTTGCCTAATTGGAGTATATTTATCTTTATTTAGTATTATTCTCATGCACTTATTTTGTAAAATTTGCAGTCTTTCAAAAATGGAATTATTTGCTAAATATAGAATAGTCGAACAGTACAAGAAATTTGGAAGAATGATGGTATTATATAGATAATTTTTCTGCTATATGAACTCGGACATCCAGAAACTCTCGATAAATATCCCACTTTACTTTAATCTTATTTATGGAGAATCGAAAATGTTTTTTTATACTCCAACTACCACGAAGGCCTGAAGCCTAAACACCCGTAGGATACCGTGGGGCTATAGGGGGATACAGGGGAAAGGGGGGACGACACACGGACTCTGGCCAGGGAACACGCGCACATTCTGGCCCCGCCTACGAGATCCGCCGGGTAGTACCTCCGCGTTCGACAGTCGGAGACCGTCTACCACCTACGGACAATCACAATATCCATAGCCAAAAGAAAAATTCTCTACGCAGTCTACCACTGCGGACACCGTTGCTGCCTTGCTTGTTGTCAAAGTTCCTAAATATCCTGCAAATATCCATTAACTAAATTCCAATCCATTTTAGGGCATATTGTAAATGTGAACCTTCGCTACTTCACACGCCTACTGGCGGGAAACTACTGTAATTTTCGAAAACGAGATCTTGTGTTGTTTGGGTGTTTTATGACATGTACATCGCGGAAATCTAGCTGATTTCCGTCGGTCTATCCGCTATTCAGAAGTGCAAGGACGCAAAAGCTTTGTAGTTTTTGAAAATCGGTCTACTGGGGGCAGAAAAAAAGAATAAAACTCACTCGAGCTTTTTTGACGTTGATGATCCTGATCAGTATTGAAAACGTTTAGAGGTAAAAAAAAACGGTTGTGGGGTCCCAAGTATCACAACTTTATCTTAAGACCTTTTAAAAACGTCATTTTGAGATATTGGAGACGTTGAACACGTTGTAAAGATGACGTTTGTTACAAAAACTGTGCATCTTTAAAGACGTATTTATAATACGTTCGTAAGGTCTTTAGTTAAAAAGACATAACAAAAAGGCGAATTGTTTGAAAACTGTTTTTGTAAAAAAAAATTGTTATCAAACTTTTCCTGGATTGCTGTCCTGATCTGAAGCTCGTCTCGGCCAAGTCCGGACTGCTAGCTCCGTCTCATGGTGGCTCTTACATACACCAGCTTTTTACGTTGATTTTATACTTTTTAGTATCCTTGTTCGATGACTGTTCTCCAACAAATACTCTCGGGATTTTCGCATCGGCGAGTCGTCGACGATCTAGCTCTCTTCTGTCGTTGGACAATTTTAGTTCTATAAATGCTGGAATTTACCAGAAACAGAGAAGTATTGGAATTAGGTTGTAGAGAATGGACGAGAGTCCCAAATACATGGCAATAAAACTCTTCAAAAGACTACCCATTGATCTTTACGGCTGACATTATTTAAAAAAAGTATCGCAAATTTTACTGGATAAAGCTTTCTATTCTATAGAAGGATTTTTAATGTGTGATAGTCTTTTTTAATTATTATTATTACACCAAATGGCTCCTGATTTTGCCCTCATCCTAACCGTGTTGAACTTCGCTTTTTCCACTTCTACTAAGCTTAGTCAATTCAAAAATTAGATTAACAAAGACTCTTTCGGATCCAAATAAAGCACTCTTTCTCATTTTTATTACAGTAGGGATAACTTCCACGCTTTTTAATTCCGATAATATACTAAGTGACATATAAATCCGAACACCCAGTTTAAATGGTTTTATTTTAATAAAAGTTGGTGAATGTATTTATCTTACTGTAAATAACAAGTGAAAAAATTTTCAGCCGTATCAGTTGGACATTCCGGTTTTTATACTGTTTTTTTTAATTCACTAACGCTCTAAAAGTGAATATTTCAGCCGCAGTAAAGAATCAAAATTGGCGGATTTTGGTTCTTGACGTCCTTTACGATCGGTTACGATGCCTAGAGTATGGAGACCTGTACGATTTCGTCAACTTAGTAAGTTGTAATAGTGGGACTTCGGGAAGCTGGACTTTCTTTTCGGGCAATTGCAGTTAGAGTGCAAAGAAGTGTAGACACTGTGGTTAGGTGTTGTCAGGCATGGCTTCGAGAAGGCCGTACGCAAAGAGCAAGGGGCACTGGACGCCGCCGTAGAACAACAGACCGTGAAGATCGCCGCCTAAGATTATTGGCCTTAAGGGACCGTTTCTCCACTACCAGGTCCATTCCAAATGAATGGTTTGCAGACCACGGAAGACCTATTGGCATGCGAAGTGTTTACCGACGAATGAGAAGTTTTGGCTTGTTTTCATACCGGCCACACTGGGTCCTCAATTTAACTCGAGAACACCGACGTAATCGCCTTGAGTGGTGCAGACAACGGTCACTCTGGGATCAGGAATGGAACAGTATTGTCTTTAGTGACGAGTCTCGATTTTGTTTGGGCATGCACGATGGTCGTGCCAGGGTTAGAAGGCGACGTGGTGAAAGGACGAATCCACAGTTTTTTGTTGAAAGACATGTTCATCACACTGTTGGAGTTATGGTTTGGGGTGCTATAGCTCATGGTTCCAGGTCACCTTTAATCTTCATCAGAGGTAACATGAACGCGCAGCGTTATATCCACGAAGTTCTAGAACCCCATCTTTTACCCTGGCAGATCCAACTTGCCAACAAGATAATGCCCGACCACATGTTGCAAGAGTCACAATAGACTTCTTTCAACATAATGATGTCACATTGTTACCGTGGCCACCAAGATCTGCCGACTTATCCCCAATTGAGCACGTGTGGGATACGATGGGTAGGAGATTGCTCAATTTGCAACGTCCTCCTCAGACTCTAGAAACACTTCGAGAGGAGTTGGTGGTTGCCTGGAATGAGTTACCACAGGAGGACATTGAAGCATGCCTAGGCGCGTTGTAGAATGCGTAGCACATCAGGGTGCATCCACACATTATTAAAGGGTCAAAGGGCTTTAAAGCAGTGCAATCATTTTGAATTTTTATCATTTATTATGCTTCATTAAGTACTTATAGAAAATTTTATTAAAATAAAACCACTTAAACTGCATGTTCGGATTTATATGTCACTTAGTATATAAACAAGCAATATTTTTTCCAAAATTATTAGTTCCGTGTAAAAACTAGATCCTGAAGTGAGACATCCTTTGAAACTTTCAGTTTCTCCGCTTGAAATGTTTTCCTTGCAGCAACGTGCACTACATAGACAAGAACGGCGACGAGAGCTACATGACAATGGACACCTACCCTAAGCAGTACGAGAAGAAAATGAAGCTGCTGTCGTACTTCAGCAGATACATGCGCGAGCACCTTGTCAAAACGGGCGCGGAACACGTCAGGCAGAACGATACCGTGTCTCGCATCCCGCATTTGCACCAATGGGTGCGATCCACGTCCGGGGTGCTGATGCAGCTCAACAACGGCACCGTACAGGTAAGAAAATTGGAAAATGAATGACACATGTTGCTGAAAATCGGCTCTCCAGGACGTGGTTATCACTGACTTGAGACACGTCAATTTGAAGCGGTCTGATGTTTCTAATAGCCGCTTTGCACGACCGAATAGATTGAACGATTGAACATAAAAGGGGATTTCTCAACAAATTCAGAAGTTTCATTTAGCATTTCTTAAAAAAAATTAATGAAAATATATCCTTTTTTTACGGAAATATAAAGTTTTACTTTAGCGATGTTCATTGAAAATGAAGGTCCTCCATATTTTTTTGTATAACATGTAGAAAAATTACTTTTGAAAAACTATGAAGCGATGGAATGACTGATAGGATTTTTACCACTATTTGACGCTGAATTTTAATAAAAATTTATTAATAGATGTATTGAGATCTGTTTTATAGTTTATGTTGTCATAGTAATATCACAAAGATAAACTTAAAGTGTTGAACTTGAAATTAAAAAAAAAACGAAGCGTGTCAGAGATGTGGCTTTTCTTAGATATATTAAACTTAAAATATCTGTGTATTCTTATTATTATATTATCTCACTACGTTTTGGTCTCTAAGGCCCGTATCGTCCCTACAATTGTAGTTTTCTACTTCTCCGAGTCAGCGCTCTATTTTGAGGTTATGTCACAAACATCTATTCGCATCGAATTGTGCTTGCTTTCGAGTTATATCATGTTTTATCAGCCTGAAATTTCCTACAATTTAAAAAGTAAACATATCTTCACTATTCACTGACGCTGACACGGGACGAGTGTAATCTAGAAATTTTTGAAGGACAGAAAGGAGTATGACAATCAAGGAGGCGATAAACGCGCCCTACAATTGTAGGGACGACTGACGATACGGGCCTAAATCTTGAATCACATTTTGGTCAGGCTCAATCTTTCTTTTAGAATCGTCTAGCATCTCTATTTTTTATAACTTTAAAATTAAACTTTTAACCTTCAAAGTTAAATATAGAATAAGTAATTCTAAGCCTTAATTGGCTTAGAAATTAAAATTAAAATTAATTTTAATTAAGCTTTAAAAGTTAACTTTACCATTAAATTTGCAATTTAATATCATTTTTGAATACAAAGCTTAGTGAGAGAAATTCTATTTCGGTGATAAATTTACAATTTATTACCTACATACTCAGCCATCTCACTGAATAAATGGTTGTTCTCCACAAATCATAAAGATATCGGAACCTTATATTTTCTATTTGGAGCTTGGGCCGGGATAGCTGGGACTTCACTTAGAATATTAATTCGAGCTGAATTCTGAAACCCTGGCTCTCTAATTGGAAACGATCAAATTTATAATGGATTGTTACTGCTCATGCATTTGTTATAATTTTTTTTATAGTTATACCTATTATATGGATTTGGCACGACCCACCGATATTTAAGGGGGGTATTTTTCAACTATTTTTATCGACAAATCCACCCCCCTACAATATCCTACCTCACCCCTCGTGAAATGGCATCCATTTTTATTTGTACGTTACGATTACTAAGTGACATATAAATCCGAACACCCAGTTTAAATGTTGTATAAGTACTTAATGAAGCATAATAAGTAAATGATAAAAATTTCAAAATGATTGCACTGCTTTAAAGCACTTTGACCTTTAATAATATGTGGATGCACCCTGATGTGCTACGCATTCTCCAACGCGCCTAGGCATGCTTCTGATCAGGTGGTGAATGTCCTCCTGTGGTATCTCATTCCAGGCAACCACCAACTCCTCTCGAAGTGCTTCTAGAGTCTGAGGAGGACGTTGCAAATTGAGCAATCTCCTACCCATCGTATCCCACACGTGCTCAATTGGGGATAAGTCGGGAGATCTTGGTGGCCATGGTAACAATGTGACATCATTATGTTGAAAGAAGTCTATTGTGACTCTTGCAACATGTGGTCGGGCATTATCTTGTTGGAAAGTTGGATCTGCCAGGGTGTCAAGATTAGGGTAAAAGATAGGGTTCTAAAACTTCGTGGATATAACGCTGCGCGTTCATGTTACCTCTGACGGAGATTAAAGGTGACCTGGAACCATAAGCTATAGCACCCCAAACTATAACTCCAACAGTGTGATGAACATCGTCGCTTGAATGCCGAAGTCACAAAATGCATATTTTACAGGAGAGCTATTTTTCGTGTTTGTGTCTTGCCTAACATTTCTGAGAAATTTTGGATATAGAATGCTTTATCGGAAAAAAAGTATGACTAGTCCGTGAAAGTAGACTTATATTTGTTGCTGACATTCGACTTACAGTCGTTCTGTAAGTGATCATCTGCTCTTATCATAGTTCTGCAGCTATTACGCCAAAATATCGTTCAAGACCAGTGGTGGGGGAACGCTTTTGCAGAGACGTACCATACCTCTGCATGCAATGTAGGTGACTATGACCTACAATGTCGTGTTAAAATCTGAAAAATGAAGAATTTGGACATACAATAGTTCTGCGTTCAGGCGACGACATGTCTTTCAACAAAAAACTGTGGATTCCTCCTTTCACCACGACGTCTTCCAACCCTGGCACGACCATCGTGCGTGCCTAAACAAAATCGAGACTCGTCACTAAAGACAATACTGTTCCATTCCTGATCCCAGAGTGACCGTTGTCTGCACCACTCAAGGCAATTACGTCGGTGTTCTCGAGTTAAAGGGAGGACCCAGTGTGGCCGGTATGAAAACAAGCCAAAACTTCTCATTCGTCGGTAAACACTTCGCATGCCAATAGGTCTTCCGTGTTCTGCAAACCATTCATTTGCAATGGACCTGGTAGTGGAGAAACGGTCCCTTAAGGCCAATAATCTTAGGCGGCGATCTTCACGGTCTGTTGTTCTACGGCGGCGTCCAGTGCCCCTTGCTCTTTGCGTACGGCCTTCTCGAAGCCACGCCTGACAACACCTAACCACAGTGTCTACACTTATTTGCACTCTAACTGCAATTGCCCGAAAAGAAAGTCCAGCTTCCCGAAGTCCCACTATACGGCCCCTATCAAACTCACTAAGTTGACGAAATCGTACAGGTCTCCGTACTCTAGGCATCGTAACCGATCGTAAAGGATGTCGAGAACCAAAATCCGCCAACGTTGATTCTTTACTGCGGCTGAAATATTCATTTTTAGAGCGTTAGTGAATTGAAAAAAGCAGTATAAAAACCGGAATGTCCAACTGATAAGGCTGAAAATTCACCAACTTTTATTAAAATAAAACCATTTAAACTGGGTGTTCGGATTTATATGTCACTTAGTATAAGTGTCACAGAACGATAAATTTGGCGTCAATTGAACAATAGCATGTTGTTCTAGCGATTGTTGAAAAACTTGATACTAACCGTCAAACATACTTGAAAACAGACAAAACCTGAAAAAAATATGCAAGAAAATTGATCATTTTGTGCATTTCCGCACACCATTCCGAAACTAGTTTGCGAGGTTTTACTTTCTCTTTTGTTAATTCTACAGCTATGTTATCTACAAAATGTAATATTCAATTCATAAGATGATGAACAGATTTGATTGTACATATTTTTTTATCATCAATTTCGGACTCGGGGACAAGATGAGGGAATGACTTATAGACTAATAAATTAATCGTATTTTTTCTGTGTCAATGTGCAATACCTAACACGTTCCTAATAACAATATATTATACAGTATGATCTTACCATACTCCAGTAATACTGATACGGGCCGAACGCTGAATTTGATTGACTTTGCCCTTACCAAACCAACGAGCAAAAAAAATGGACGTACAATCGTGCACTACTTTGGGCTTAAGCCCCTACTTACTCCGACAAAACGCCGAAGACGTATCATACAGGGTTTGTCAGGAAAGTAATGGGACTGAGTCGATTTAAAAAAAATATTGAGCCAATCGTCACGATTCTTTAAAAACCTTCAAAATAGGCTCCTTCTGCGTCGATGCAGCGCTGCCAGCGCGATTGCCAAGCATTGAAAGCGGGGGGGCCACATCTGGGCTGAAGGGCGGCTGCGGAAGCGTTGGGATGCCGACCTTGGTCAGGTAGCTGTTCACAAGAAAGGCGGTGCGAGCCGGGGCGTTGTCGTGGTGCAACTTTCAGTCGGCTGCGATGTCTTGTCGGTCCCGACTGACCATTCGTTTGAGTCTCCCGAGCACTTCCACGTAAAACTTGGCGTTGATGGTTTGTCCAGGAGGAACAAATTCATGGTGGACGATGCCTTTGATGTCAAAAAAGACAATGAGCATCGTTTTCACTCATTCTTCCCTTTTTGGGCGAGAAGACGCCGTCGTGTGCCACTCGGAAGATCGCCTCTTTGTCTCGGGATCATACTGAAAGATCCACGACTCGTCACCTGTGATTAGGTTATTCAAAAATTGGGGGTCACTTTCACACATGTTCAAATTTTCTTGGCACACTTCCACGCGCCGCAATTTCCGGTCGACAGTGACCATCTTCGCGCACACCTTGCGCACGTTCGAATGCTGTATCGCAATGTCATGAACCACAAATTTTGGTAAATTTAACATCCGGGCAGTTAAACGAATACTTAGTCGACGGTCTGAGTTCAAAACTTTGCGCGCACGAGTTTCTCGAAGTCGAAGGTCTTCATCAGCGACCTCTTCCCGGCACTCCAAAAAAGGCCTGGTGCCACCGAAACACACCACTTCTTGCTAAAGCAACACCTGGGAAAGCCTCATCATATCAAACGTCCCTGTCGCAGATTTACCGAGTTTCACACAGAATTTAATCGCGTACCTCTGCTCTAAAGAACGCTGCATTTTCGGCTTGCACCACTCACAGAAACCGGTCGCGCGAAAATGCCTGTCCTGACTCTCAAAGTGCTCGGAGACAACTGACCAGCCGCTCATTCGTTAGCTAGGAACACCCTCTACCGAGTCCTATTACTTTCCGGACGAACCCTGTATTAGTGTAAGACACTGTACAATTTATGAATGTACGCCGTTCTTTGTTTTCAGATGAACTTCGGGGACCACACGAAAATAATAATGTGCCCTCTGATGACCGCCATCACTTACATAGACAAAGATTCAACTTTCAGCACTTACACGTTCGATACGATCGAAAAAAATGGATGCTCGCAGGCACTGTTCGAAAAAATGCACTACGCCCTCGACAAGATTAACGTGCTTCTGCAGAAGGATTTGTGATTTTTCAACGTGGAAAAAAACTGTCTCCTAAAATATTCTTTAACCGATACGTTTCGATTTTTATGTCCAGTAAACAAGGTAAAATTTCCAAAATGATGTGAATGAGCCGGGTTTTGTGCAGATGCTTGATGTCCAAGGATGAGCTGGAAATACGCGTTAATTTGGTTTGAAGTATGATACTACGTTTTTCCAAAGAAATAGGTCTAGTATAGAATCGACATGATTTTTACTCAGAAAGCAAATTATACTTTTCCGAGGGCTTTTGATGCTCTGAATCCGGATCTGTGGCCGACATATCGAAGCTAAAAGTGCAAATACAGCTAGTTATGCCCATGTTTGAGGTTTGTAGCATGGGGGATTATTTTTTCGAAAAACTACGTCAAATCACCCACATTCTTTTTTTTTCATTTTTCTGGCTTTCATTTTATCCGATACAAATTTTAATAAGTTGATGTATTTTTGTGAGACTTGCTAGTTAAAAAACTCATGAATCCTCTACTAAATCCATAAGATATGAGAAAAAACCTGAATCACAACCAACCCTACGTATCAAGGCAGAGCTTAATCTTCTTGCTTTCGATTTCACACTTTTTTTTAAATATAAAATTATTTTCTCCTGATCTAGATGAAAGAATAATTTTTTTGCAGTTTTTTTCTATTATCTCGAAAATTTGGATTGAGCGCATCAAAAATTACACTCTGGTTTCTGAGTAAGAAGGTCAGTTCACTTTTGTCGGCTCTTTCAAGAAAATTTCCAGAGATGCTTCAAAACCATTATATATTACAAATCATAAGTTTTATTTCAAAAATAGATGTTTTTTCTTGTGTATGTGATGGGTGAGTTATTTAGAGGTACTTGTAAAAAAGAAAATCGTAATTCCGTAATGGACTGCACTAACAGCCGACATTTGAAGGAAATAATCTTTCAAAATTAAACGTCAGAAAACTTGAACATTTTTTATTTTCCATAAAGTACCTCTATCTAAAAGAATTATCCGTTACTCCAAGAAATATTCATAGTTTATTACCTGCTAAAGTATTTTATATCCGTCTTCGTTAAAATCTAGCTTGATCGAATTGATTTTCAGTCGTACTCTTTACTGGACAAGGTCGAATATCCAGTGTATATGCATTTATTGGTTATGTGGACGTTTGGCACGAGGTGCCATCTTCTATAGTATTATTTAATTTTTTATATTGATATAGCCTTTCGTTGGGAAACCTGAAATATAGTTCGTTTCTAGTGTTATTATTATTTAAAAAGAAAGAGGTATATTCAAAAACTTATATTACTTGACTCTATTGCTGTATTTCTTTAATTTTATTCGAATTATTTTGCCTGAATCTGCTCTAGAGTGGCCAAATACACTGGTCAACAAAATTTTAACTTTGTCGTGCCACACGGACTTTTTTGATATTTTTTACTTTAATTGGTGATTGTAAGAAAAAATAAACAGTTAAAAAAATTTGCTAGACAAGGATTTTATTCTATTGAGTAATTTAAAATATTAAGAAAAAACGCAGATCTCGTAAATCAAAAGTTATTTTTTTTTATAAATGACTCAATAATCTAAGATTTTCTTGAATATTTAGCTTCTGGTTGGTCCCTTTTAATTGTTCAGCAGTAATCTGCTAACATATTTGGGCTCCATTTGCCCTGGTACCGCTTTTCCATATTAGAAATGTCCTGATGGAACCTCTCACCGTGCTCGTCGCTGACAGCCCCTAAATTGTCAGGAAAAAAATCCAGGTGCGAGTCCAAAAAATGGATCTTAAGTGACATGTTGCAACCCAATGCTTGATATGACAATAATAGCTCGCTAACCAACTCTCTGTAGCTGCCACTCTTGTGGTTACCCAACAACATTTTTATAAGCCTTCCATGCAGATGTTTCTAAATCGCTTAATTTTTCTTCAAATCTTGAATCTTTTATTAACTCCCTAATTTGAGGGCCAACAAAAATACCCTCTTTTATCTTCGCATCGCTTATTTTAGGGAATTATTCGTTTAGATACAAAAATCCACTCCCATTGCGATCCATTGCCTTCGCAAAATTTTTTTATTAATCCTAATTTGATATGCAATGGTGGTAGAAGCACATTATTTGGCTGTACAAGGGGTGAATACTTTACGTTTTTTTGCCCAGGAACTAACGATGCACGCGTAGGCCATGTGTTTTTTTATATAGTGATCAGTTCTGTCTCGGCTATCCCATTCACATAAAAAGCAGCAAAACTTTGTATAACCCAGCTGAAGTCCAAGTAATAGTGCAACGACTTTAAGATCACCGCAGATTTTGAAGGAATATGTACTGTAATTTATTTTTTCAAGTAAAAGTTTCATATTTTCATAGGTTTCTTTCATATTTGCAGCAAGGGCCAGAGGTACAGACGGAAGCTTATTTCCATTATGCAATAACACCGCTTTTAGACTTGCTTTCGAAGAATCAATGAATAAACGCCGCTGAGAGAGATCAAAATCTATGTCCAACATTTTCATAATCTCATTTATGTTATTGCAAAACACCAAAACTCCATCCTGAGAATAAAACGTTCTGAAGTGTTGATCACGGTCTCGAAAATAGCTAACTTTTGTATTATGATTTAGCAAATTCCATTCTTTTAGACGTGATCCCAATAGTTCTGACAGCGTTTTTGACAAATTTAAATCCCGAACCGAATCATTTAGATCTCCTCGAGTTATCAAATGTGGCTCGTTTACAATTCCTTTTAACTCAAAGTCATCGTCCTCGTCAACACATTCTCCTGAAGTGGACGGTTGCGAATTGTTCTCAACAGACGTACTTGCAACTGGTATTAGTTCTGGCAATTTTTTACAATGAGAGAGTGGTCTTATAGCCGAAGATAAGTTAGGGTGAATAACTGTGGTTTTTTTCTTGTAATTTATACCTTGAGACAAAAATAGCAATCTGAAACGTGATCTCGCTGTTTCAGTCCATATCATGGGTACAGCAAACGGCATAGGTCGTGCACCTTTCTTCCAGTCAGTTAAATTTTTCACATACGTTATGCAACGGACATGAGGGGCCCAGGATTTGTCTTGATGGGCGACAGAGAAACCAAAACATCGGTGATAACACTCCAACACAAGATTCGTAAAATTTCGTCGTTGTTTTTGGAATGTTCTCCGCAGACATAACAAAAAGAGTTAGGATCATTATTACACTTCCTCGACATATAAATCACAAAAAAGTGTTCAAATTCAACAACAAATATTTTTATAAGGATTTACTTGTAAGCGTTTCTGTTAATTTACCGCCGTTGTACTAGTTACGAGTATTACCGTATCACAACAAATATGAGGCTGATAGACATATGACAGCTGTCATGTAATAATGAGGGTAGACTGATAAAACAAAAGTTCGTGTGGCAGAACCAGTGTTGACCAGTGATATCTATCGTTTTCAGACTTTACAATCTATTTTGGTAATTTTTTGATCTTCATCACTTCTTTTGGAGTGAATCAAGGCACTGTTTATCTTCTGTAGTGTGTTTTTAAGAAGATGGGACTTTCAGTAAGATCACAGTATATATCATTGCTTTTTATCTAGAGTTAGAATATCTAAAAATCGTAAAAGTTCGACGTACCTATATATTTTCAACCGTTTACTAACTTCATTTTTATAGTTTTCCCACCAACATCCAAAATGCTGCAAAGCTCTCCTGGACTGTTATATATACTAAACGTATATAACAATCCAGAAGAAAGCTTTTCAGATGTGGAGATTTGATGAATCAACGTTTGAATGTTATTTTTGACGTGTATCCTACATCTTGCTTTTTCTTTCAAATCAGCAAAAGAACGGATGACTCAAAAAATTACTAACGTTTCTTCGGTTATTTCTGTGGCCATAGAAATAGCAGAAAACGTGTATAAAACATTCCGCCTTAATTCGTAAAACGTTAGTGTCGAGAAGTGAGTCGGAAAAAGCAAATTTACGACGTACATTGTTGTGTTCGATAAGACGTATTTTTGGTTCGTCGTGAACTAGTTGTAAATGCTATATTATAAGGCTTTTATGTTCAGTTTCTCAATAAAGTTTTATATATTTTTGAACGCTCGTTTTTATGTCTCGATCGATGTTGTTTGGATAAAACTACACGATATTTTGCGATTCATAAGCTAAATACGGCAATTGGCGTACTCAAAATATTTGAGACCATGTTAAAGTGCAACGCGCTTATAACACTATAGTTTTTTAATTGTATCTTGTGGGAAAAGTGCACAATTTTGGGGCGCTGAATGAAATAAAAAAATTAGTTGCGGTTTAGAAAAAAAACTTTTTATTTTTAAGGATATATTAAAAAAAGTAACAAGATTCATATACTTATAAGAATCACTATATGCGGTGTCTTTTTGCTGTTCTTGTGTGGATCGTTTCTGGAGCATCTCTACCAACAGTAGTCTGCAAGCATGGAAGGATTCCACTTTCCCTGGTACCTTTTTTCCATTGTTGAAATGTCCTGATGAAAACGTTCGCCGTGCTCATCACTTACGGCTCCGCAATTGTCAGGAATAAAGTCCGGGTGTGAGTGTAGGAAATGTATCTTAAGAGACATACCAGAGCCCATCTTTTGATACGATGACAACATATTTTTGACAAGGGTTTTATAGTTGTCAGCTTTTCTATTTCCCAAGAAATTAGTGACCACCAGACGGAAATCATTCCAAGCAGCTTTTTCAATACCTGTTAAAGTGTTTTCAAACTGTGTAGCTTTCAAAATATTTCGAATCTGTGGCCCAACAAAAATACCTTCTTTAACCTTTGCCTCACTTAGTCTTGGAAATTTCTGACGCAGGTATTGAAAAGCTGACCCATCTCTATCTAATGCCTTGACAAAGTTTTTCATTAGGCCCAACTTGATATGCAGTGGTGGTAATAACATTTTTTTCGAATCTACTAATGGCATATCCTGTACATATGTTTGACCTGGCTCTAGGAATTGACGAACAGGCCAGTTTTGTCTGGTGTAATGAAGTGTCTTTGCCCGACTGTCCCATTCACACAAAAAACAGCAAAACTAGCTGCAGCCCAAGTAAAAGTGCAACAACTTTCAAATCGCCACAAATATGCCATTGGTGCTCATCGTATTTTATGCATGTCAATAGGTACTTCATATTGTCATATGATTCTTTCATGTGAACTGCATACCCTACAGGAAGAGATGGTAAAATATTTCCAATATGCAATAACACTGCCTTTAAACTCAATGTTGAACTGTCTATAAACAATCTCCATTCTTCTGGGTTATAGTTTACATTTAAAGCCGCCAGTAAGCCGTTAATGTTACTGCAGAAAACCAAGTTATTCTCCATATTGAAAGTCTTTGTGGCGTTTACGAAAAACACGTACCGAAACATCGTCTTCTAACAAGTTCCTCTGCTGCAGTCTTGATCCAAGTAACTCTGCCTTACATTTTGGAAGTTCTAAATCTCTTACAAGATCATTTAATTCTGACTGTGTTATTTTGTGCGGTTGGTGGCATGACGTGCTCGGTATAAAATCAGGATCTCTTGACGTTGATGGCATATCTTCTTCCTGACGAATCACTCGATCGCCATGATCTGATTCGCAAGTGTAGGATTCTGGGGGTTTCGGAATAGGATTTTCGTAACTGTGAGGCACAGGTCTCGTCGCAGATGGTATGTTTGGGTAGTTGATAACCGATTTTTTTTTCTTGGACATCCCTGTGGCTTGTCCAACACAAGGTACCATGCAAAAGTAACAATCATTATCCTTCATAAGCCCGTCGTCAAAAAGTCACGTTAAGTACGGAGCGGGGTACAAATGTACCCCAACATTTTTTTGCCTTATTTTTTTTTAATTCGCGATTAATCAAATATAGATACATTCTGATTAAAGAAATATATATCTTTACATAGGTATGCTGTAAACATTGAAAGATAAACACATTAAGAAAAAATAATATAGAGTCCTTATAATATAAAGAAAAATAATTCAGAAAAATATACTATATAAGAATCTATGACATTTTAAATAATAATTTAATTATTACACTTGTTACAAACTGTTGTATTTTTTGAATGTTCCGTCCATACCATGACAAAATGGTTAACATGGATTGTTTTATAATGGAATGTAAAAGCTTGTCATTATGGTACATACTAATTATAGTTTTCCTAATTAATTCTTGTCCCAACTTCAACAAAAACATTCTTCTTCTACCCAAACACGATTTTTCTACAATCTGGATTTTTCAACACGCATACTTTATAAACGTTGGTGTCACTTAATGTCCAGTAGATGGAAAAATATTGCCATCGGCCACCGATTACTTTTTCTTTGAATCGTGATTTCCTGTATCTGTTGTATGCGCTGCACCCATTGTTTTGTTATAGTGTAAAATGTTACATTCCGAGCAGGGTGCAGCTGAACCCTAATGTACAAAACTCAGTATAACTTGTTACAATACATTACAATTCCTTTAAACTTTTGTATACTAAATTAGAAATTTATTTAAGAAACATTCCTCGATTCAAAATAAATATTTTAGTAAATACCCCCGAAAATTGATGTTTGGGGTGCAGCAGCACCACGCTCGGGTTTATGAAGGTTAATGTGATTTGTAAGCTCTCTCCAAACCATTGGGACAGCAAAGCGCATAGACCGTTTTTTGCCATTTAACCAGCTCCTCAGACTTGAAGCACATGTATTACAGCAGAAGACTGTTTGTCTTGATCACCTAGTTTACAACCGAAATAAAGCTGATATGCCTTTGTTATTAGTGAAGTAATAGACCGTCTCTGAGACGCAAAAGTCACATCACCACACACGTAACAAAACTGATCCGGATTGTTTACACCCTTTCGAGACATCTTGCATGAACGCTGTCAGCCAACTGAGGAAAAAATGGCTAATATAAAACAATATAATGTACACGTATGTACAACGTAACACAATCATGCCGATTACATCATCTTTCCTTGCCGAATATAAAAATGTAGCACGTGCATTCTTGAGAATTACAGTATATTAACACTGTCACACAGGAACACAAGTTCCATTCCACATTAAAAATAGTAATATTTTGTTGATTTTATTTAGGATATTTTTTAGCTGTTGATCAGTGTAATGGACTGTGACAAAAAAAGTCTATTATAGGCGGAGACCATCTTAAAAGAAACACTTTTTTTTAATAAAAAAGCAGCAGAAATAACATTAAAAGCTTAAAATGTGTTTGTTTAACATATATTACATAAATAGATACATACAAAAAAGTTATACGTAATTTTGAAATTTGCATTTTTTCAGAATCTGATACCGTAAAACTTTGCACCACGTTGAGTTTTTTTGATATAATTATTTAGTAAGCAAGGATTTTGTGAAATTATTAACACTTTTTTTAATAAAAAAAGCAGCAGAAATAACAATAATGGCTTAAAATGTGTTTGTTTAACATATATTACATAAATAGATACATACAAAAAAGTTATACGTAATTTTGAAATTTCCATTTTTTCAGAATCTGATACCGTAAAACTTTGCACCACGTTGAGTTTTTTTGATATAATTATTTAGTAAGCAAGGATTTTGTGAAATTATTAACACTTTTTTTAATAAAAAAAGCAGCAGAAATAACAATAATGGCTTAAAATGTGTTTGTTTAACATATATTACATAAATAGATACATACAAAAAAGTTATACGTAATTTTGAAATTTCCATTTTTTCAGAATCTGATACCGTAAAACTTTGCACCACGTTGAGTTTTTTTGATATAATTATTTAGTAAGCAAGGATTTTGTGAAATTATTAACACTTTTTTTAATAAAAAAAGCAGCAGAAATAACAATAATGGCTTAAAATGTGTTTGTTTAACATGTATTACATAAACAGATACATACAAAAAAGTTATACGTAATTTTGAAATTGCATTTTTTCAGAATCTGATACCGTAAAACTTTGCACCACGTTGAGTTTTTTTGATATAATTATTTAGTAAGCAAGGATTTTGTGAAATTATTAACACTTTTTTTAATAAAAAAAGCAGCAGAAATAACAATAATGGCTTAAAATGTGTTTGTTTAACATGTATTACATAAATAGATACATACAAGAAAGTTATACGTAATTTTCAAATTTGCATTTTTTCAGAATCTGATACCGTAAAACTTCGCACCACGTTGAGTTTTTTTGATATAATTATTTAGTAAGCAAGGATTTTGTGAAATTATTAACACTTTTTTAATAAAAAAAGCAGCAGAAATAACAATAATGGCTTAAAATGTGTTTGTTTAACATGTATTACATAAATAGATACATACAAAAAAGTTATACGTAATTTTGAAATTTGCATTTTTTCAGAATCTGTTACCGTAAAACTTTGCACCACGTTGAGTTTTTTTGATATAATTATTTAGTAAGCAAGGATTTTGTGAAGTTATTAACACTTTTTTTAATAAAAAAAGCAGCAGAATGGCTTAAAATGTGTTTGTTTAACATGTATTACATAAATAGATACATACAAAAAAGTTATACGTAATTTTGAAATTTGCATTTTTTCAGAATCTGATACCGGAACACTTTGCACCACGTTGAGTTTTTTTGATATAATTATTTAGTAAGCAAGGATTTTGTGAAATTATTAACACTTTTTTTATTAAAAAAATCAGCACAAATAACAATAATGGCTTAAAATGTGTTTGTTTAACATGTATTACATAAATAGATACATACAGAAAAGTTATACGTAATTTTGAAATTTGCATTTTTTCAGAATCTGATACCGTAAAACTTTGCACCACGTTGAGTTTTTTTGATATAATTATTTAGTAAGCAAGGATTTTGTGAAATTATTAACACTTTTTTTAATAAAAAAAGCAGCACAAATAACAATAATGGCTTAAAATGTGTTTGTTTAACATGTATTACATAAATAGATACATACAGAAAAGTTATACGTAATTTTGAAATTTGCATTTTTTCAGAATCTGATACCGTAAAACTTTGCACCACGTTGAGTTTTTTTGATATAATTATTTAGTAAGCAAGGATTTTGTGAAATTATTAACACTTTTTTTAATAAAAAAAAGCAGCAGAAATAACAATAATGGCTGAAAATGTATTGGTTTAACATGTATTACAAAATAGATACATACAAAAAAGTTATACGTAATTTTGAAATTTGCATTTTTTCAGAATCTGATACCGTAAAACTTTGCACCACGTTGAGTTTTTTTGATATAATTATTTAGTAAGCAAGGATTTTGTGAAATTATTAACACTTTTTTTAATAAAAAAAAGCAGCAGAAATAACAATAATGGCTTAAAATGTGTTTGTTTAACATGTATTACATAAATAGATACATACAAAAAAGTTATACGTAATTTTGAAATTTGCATTTTTCCAGAATCTGATACCGTAAAATTTTGCACCACGTTGAGTTTTTTTGATATAATTATTTAGTAAGCAAGGATTTTGTGAAATTATTAACACTTTTTTAATAAAAAAAGCAGCAGAAATAACAATAATGGCTTAAAATGTGTTTGTTTAACATGTATTACATAAATAGATACATACAGAAAAGTTATACGTAATTTTGAAATTTGCATTTTTTCAGAATCTGATACCGTGAAACTTTGCACCACGTTGAGTTTTTTTGATATAATTATTTAGTAAGCAAGGATTTTGTGAAATTATTAACACTTTTTTTAATAAAAAAAGCAGCAGTAATAACAATAATGGCTTAAAATGTGTTTGTTTAACATGTATTACATAAATAGATACATACAGAAAAGTTATACGTAATTTTGAAATTTGCATTTTTTCAGAATCTGATACCGTAAAACTTTGCACCACGTTGAGTTTTTTTGATATAATTATTTAGTAAGCAAGGATTTTGTGAAATTATTAACACTTTTTTTAATACAAAAAAGCAGCAGAAATAACAATAATGGCTTAAAATGTGTTTGTTTAACATGTATTACATAAATAGATACATACAAAAAAGTTATACGTAATTTTGAAATTTGCATTTTTTCAGAATCTGATACCGTAAAACTTTTCACCACGTTGAGTTTTTTTTGATATAATTATTTAGTAAGCAAGGATTTTGTGAAATTATTTTCAAAAATGGTTTTAAATGTATTCATATCAATTCAGGACACCGATATATGCAAATAAAATATTGTTATTAGCTATATTAGATATTTTACTGATTTTTGAAAAGTGGTGCAAAGTATACGATACAGGCGGGTTATTTTGCACCACCTCAAAAATTATCCTGTTACATACGAGAAAATAGGTTGGGGCAAAGATGTCATCATTTAAAATCATTGCGGCACCTTCTACAACCATGAGAGAGATGAAAAATAATATCAACACAAATATGGTAAAGAAGTTGTATTTTATATGCATAGAATCGGAAATGACAAAAGAAAAATGTCACTCAGGATGAATAAAAAACAATATTACAGCAGTATATCTATGTTCCTAGGTATTGCTATTTAACTCTTCCACCGAGGGGATTTATGCGGCCAATAATTTGATCCCATGCATAGAAGAGCACATCTTTATTTGCAGGCCGCTTCCAATTCTCGAGTGAAATATAAAAACGCTTTGGCAAAAGACGTTTCATACGTTTTCTCTATTAAAATATGCCGTAGCAGGTTGGCTTTTGCTTTTGCTCCTGTTGTTACTTCTTCTGCTCGCAGGTACAGCAGTCCTGTTACTGTTCGTGCTGAGCAAAGTGTCAATACTGATCTGTTGTTGCATGAAGCCGTTATTGTACGGCATTTCGCCTTTGTCATCTTCATCTGCAGACCTGCCTCCACTCGACTCTGTAGCACTTTCCGGGATCACCTGCAAAAAATAGTCTCTTTGTAGACTGAAAATTGAAGTCGTACGAATTGGAAGAATGGTTAATTTTGTATAAGGTCGTCTATGTCCCCGATAGCACGAAATATTCATTAAATATAAAAAGGCCGGTGAAAGGCAAGCATTTTGAGACGACAGAGGGGACCCAAGCAGCATGCACCGCGGCTCTCAAGGCTTGGAAATCGCGCTGGCAGCGCTGCATCGACGCAAAAGGAGCCTATTTTGAAGGTTTTTAAAGAATTGTAACGATTGGCTGAATACATTTTTTTAAATCGACTCAGTCCTATTACATTCCGGACAAACCCTGTAGCTTACAAGCATTATTGTGCCAGCTGAGTATAAAGGTATTCATAAGACCATAAATAACAAGCCTACTAAAAAAAGTGTTAGTCAAAGGATCAAGTTGTGCCCATGGACATTTTTCATCAAGATATCTAAAATCACATACTAAATTTTCTTAAAAACTAACCAAACCTCGAACTAACAGAGGCATAACACGTGGGGTCCTTTTAGGTGCATTATAGAGCTGCTTTTCGGTGACCCAGTTGAGCTACTCGGAGTAACTCACCATGCTCAGCACCAATAAATGCACTGGAAAGCAGCTTATGTATTCAATAATACTTCAGAATTAGTAAGTTTTTTTTTCAGAGGAGTGGACTTGCAAGATGCAGAAGAGGCTTATAATGTTTTTTGATAATATTTTTCTAGCAAATGCTAAAATAAGCAATGAAGAATTTTCTACTTACAGTGAAAATATGTATCAGATTAATGCTTGAAAATCCATACATATTTACAAAAAATATTAGATATTTCATCAAAATATAAAATTGATATTTTAAAACCTTTCCTCATTTATTTTCTAAATATTTAGAAAAAATATATGAATTATATATACTACAAACATGTATAATTAGATTTTATAAATATGTAAGAAATATATTTATTAAATAAATATTAAAAAATCTGTCGCTACAAATATTTATCACATTTTTTAAAAATATTTAATAAATATTTAATGCTATCGGGGTTCGCAAACAAATGGTTGCCGATATACAGGTTGTGAATTAACCATGTACCATAAATTTGAGTAATTTTAAGACATACACTTTATACAGGGTGGCGCATCGAAAACGAAACAGACGCGTTTACCGGCAGCTCAGTTTTTTTTTTGGAAAAACGCTCAGACTTTCCTCATTTATTTTCTAAATATTTAGAAAAAATATGGCAAAAATATATGAATTATATATACTACAAACATGTATAATTAGATTTTATAAATATGTAAGAAATATGTTTACTAAATAAATATTAAAAAATCTGTCGCTACAAATATTTATCAAACATTTTTTAAAAACATTTAATAAATATTTAATGCTATCGGAGATCGCAAACAAATGGTTGCCTATATACAGGTTGTGAATTAACCATGTACCATAAATTTGAGTAATTTTAAGACATACACTTTATACAGGGTGGCGCATCGAAAACGAAACAAACGCATTTACTGGCCGCTCAGTTTTTTTTTGGAAAAACGCTCAGACTTGTCGATTTTGTTTTCGAGGGGGACGCAGGTTTGGCAAAAAATCACGTTAACACGTGCAGCCCCCTTGGCGGGGGTGACACCAACCTTAAAATCTTAAACGGAAAGGGGCGTCGAGTGATACCTTATTTTAAAGGTCTTTCAATTCCCCTTATAATGATGTAAAATACATGAGCTTCAGTTCATTAGTTTTGAAGATTTATTGATTTAAAGCTTAAAGTAGACTTTAATAGGTACATCAGACTAGTTTGTACTACTTTCAGAAGAAGTTTGACTAAAAGAATTTACTTAGTAAGTAAATGCTTTTCTTCACTACGCCCATGGTTTGTTGTATCATTTTCTTGTTGAAAATAGCTATTGGAGCGTTTTTTTGTGGCAAAAAAGTTATTTCTTAAAGAAAGATAAGGAAATATCTCGTACATGGTTTTTTATTCTGTCACATGATTCTATTCCGTAAATCGACTTCACTTTCAAGGAGTTTTGTATACCAACGCTTTAAGGTACCTACAGAAAATAATTAAAGGATTCATATAGGTGTGGGCCTGCTCTCCCTATCCAGAAAGTACGATAATTTTCATCCAAAAATTGCCGCACCACTTCACTGAAGTGTGGTGGAGCCACGTCGTGCATGCACCCACAAACAAAACCTTTCCATGACTGGGTTGTTGAAAATTATGTTCTGTTATTTTGACGATATGGATATAGCTGCTGGTCTCTTAAAATCTGCCGCACTGTGTTTTTATTAAGCGGCTTAAATATTTGTTTTAAGCGGACCTTACAAATTACCTTAACATTTTAATAAAACAGGTACATCGTTTAATATTTTTAAGTAGTTTAATAGTATATTAATTTTAACAAAACTGGTGCCAGAAATTCAGCTTAATTAAATCGAATAATTTATCACTTAGTGTAATTAAAAAAAATATTACGAGTAAAGAAACTTTTCCAGAACAACTGTTTGATTGGCCACGATTCCTTAGCGTACTCGTATGATGTAAATATTATTACTCACTTGTTTTTCCATAGTGCCGAACTTGAAATAGAACTTCACCTCGTCCTTCAAGCATTCGTGGAACGGTATTTTGGTGCGATGTGATTTTTTGGCCGCGTACAAAACGGTTTCTGCGATAGCTAGGAAAAAGGCCAGGAATGCGCCTCCAAGAGTCACCCAAAATACACCTTCGACCCCTTTCAGTTCTAAGTGGGTTGCTTCTCCGGATTCTTGATCACCCTGTAAAAAGGTAAAATGCGTAACTGGAACTGTTCAGCGTGATATTTATTAATAATGCTGCTTTCATCCAATCGATCACGCGCCGCGCCGTTTCGTGCTTATTGGCAATAATCAGCAACGAAAGAAACCAGTGCAGAATGAACTCTGTTAGTGGTATGAAGTTGACAGGAATATGAAAGCGCTAATACTTATTCCATTTAAAATTGGATGAAGAGAAAGATACAGGTGCTTACCGAACATTGTCCGCCGCCTTTACGTTCTTCCCACCACTTTCTTTTTATATCCACAATCTTTCCGGAATTTTGCAACTGTAATATTGCCGTGCTCAACGAATTTCTGTAAGGTGAATCTGAAAGAAAGTATAAGGCACTTTGTAAGCACGTTTTTACGTGTTTCCTCATCGAATGTCGATACTGAATGGGACGATTTTTAGGTCCATCTTAGAAAAAAAGCTTCATATGAACGCATGTCTTAAAGGTACAGGGTAATATAGTTTTTAATGATAAATCGATTACTGTCAATATACGTACATTTCGCTTTAGATATTTTAACGAAATTTCTAATGTACCCTTTTTTCTTAAATTTCCACCAGTGGCCTTCGCAGATAGGAAATTTCACCTGTGATGATATACGATTCGAAAAATTCAACAAATATGTTTGAGCTGGAACTTAACTCAATTGGTCTCATTCACTCAACATATTTAAATAACGATCTCAAATTGTGAATGTATCAAGTTATTATGCTTCAAATAAATTTCATATAAAGCAGGAATACCTCAAGGATCAGTACTAGGTCCGATCCTAATTCTAGTGTATACTAAGTGACATATAAATCCGAACACCCAGTTTAAATGGTTTTATTTTAATAAAATTATTATTAATAAAAATATTAATATCCCACACGTGCACGTAGAAACACAAAATGGAAACCAATTTACTGTTCCAAAAGTTAAACATGAAGAGGCAATTGCGCATTTTACAGCAGGGATTAAATGGGCAGAAGACAACAATATTGCACTTATATCAATCCTTGCCTTAAAAGACTTAAGAGTAGAAGCTGTTGTTAAGTTGAATTCTGAACATAAAAGGCAAACAAAAATGACTGATTTTTTTAATTTTTTTATTTTATTTGCTTATTTTAGCTATGTAGATGATTTATGTTTCAGTTTTTATGAAATAAACATGTTTGTAATATCAAGAACTTGTTTTCCTTACGATTCCCACTAATCCGGATTTTTCGTTAGTCCGGATCGAGACGCTATTGTATTTCAAAAATATCGAAAAAGACAAATTACTTCTATAGAGTTTCCCATAATCTTAGTATGTATTCCAAAAAAAATGTGTATAACACTGTAATTCTTCCATATTTTTTATATTGTTCAACCATCTTCTTTACAGCAAATGGAAACATATTTTCAAAATTACAAATTCTACAAAATAAAGCTATGAGAATCATTTTAAATGAAAAACAAATATACTAGGATTAAGTCTATGTTAGAAGAACTGCGCATGTGAAAAATTTCATATGTTATTTAGTTCTCGTTTCCATATTCAAATTAAAGAATCATTTATTACCACCACATTTAGAGAACAATATTAAATAGTCATTATCATAACTACGAAACTAGATGCAGTATAGATTTTCAGCTGCAAAATTGTAATAGTAGCATAACTAGTAAATCTATATTTTAAAAGGGAGCATTTGAATTTATTAAATTGAATAATGATATCAAACAAAGTTCGAATTTAAAAATGTTTAAGGTGAAATTAAAAAATCACTTATTATATTAATATACACTGGGTGTTACATAACTTACCATAGCAAACATACAGGGTTATCCAAATTAAGTGTCCACCATTAGTAACTTTGTTATTAGTGAAAATACAAAGTTGTTTGAATTAGCAAACTAGTAACTCAGTAAAATAACATTTTTTTAAATGTAAACCCCTGTATATTATATTTTTTTCTGTTAAAGCATCAAATTTTAAACAAAAAAGTTCATAATGACTTTTCCGCTAAAGTCAAAAATAAAGTCAAAATAACGATAAATATTTTTAATTATTTGCATTTTCTAAGTATTACTTTTAATGATCAGTGGATAGGAACAAATGGCCCAATACCCACTTGATTACTTCTTGTGGGGTTACTTAAAGAACCAAATTTACAAGCGAAGGTACGATAACCTTGACGCGTTAAAGACTGCAGTTAGGGAAAAGATAACCCAGATAGATGGTAGGACCATACTTAAGACAGTTCGAGCAGTTGAAAAACGTGCCCAAAAATGTATTGAAGAACAAGGTGGTGTTTTCGAGCATCTTCTTTAAAAAAAATTGTTATTGTATTTTGTAAGATTATAAGTTGATGTTGAAAATAAAGTTTGTCGATACAATTTAATTGTTTCAGATTTAAGGCCATAACTTCAACAATTTGTAACCTAGGAGAAAAGTTATTGTAAGCTTTTTTGTTTAAAATTTGATGCTTTAACAGAAAAAAATATAATATACAGGGGTTTCCATTTAAAAAAATGTTATTTTACTGAAAAAAATCAAAATAACGACTCTCAATTGTTTTTTTTTATTTCTCATTTTTACCAGCGTTAAAAATGCTACTAGTTTGCTAATTCAAACAACTTTGTATTTTCACTAATAACAAAGTTACTAATGGTGGACACTTAATTTGGATAACCCTGTATAGTTTTTTTAATAAGAGATTAGAGCTTCTAAAAGCAAGAAGTTTGGTATGATATAATACGTGGTTTCTATCGACAAATTTTGAGATATTTGGTCAACGTTTGAAAAAATGCCCAGGTGCCATTTTTAAAGATATCGAGGTAAATCTTACTTCACAAAAAAATTATTATCATCGATTTTGAGCTGATCTGGAAAAGGTGATGAACATTTTTTCAATTTATACAGGGTATCTGAAAAGACAAGATGTATATTTTCTCAAACATATCAAATGGAGCACCCTGTATGTATACATCGTTGAAAGGTTTTTTGGTATAATTCTTATACAACATTTTTCCAATCATTTTTGAGTTATTGCTATTCGTTTCAAGAAAAACCAAATATCTATCTTCTTAAAATGTGGAAAATGTTTTTTCTTGAAATTACGTGTAATAACTCGAAAACTGTTCGAAAAAGCGGTGTGATCCTTGTATTGAAAAAAGTTCCTGTTTTGCGTTTTGAGCATTTTTTCAGATGATCCCTGATGAGAAAATTATTGTTTACTAAAATTCACCCAAATGTCTTCAAAAATGGCGGAGCTGTGAGCCGTCAAAGTTGGGCATTTTTTCAAACATTTTAAAAAGCAACCAACTATCGAAATCATGTTATATAGTATCAAACTTCCTGTTTTTTAGGAGCAATATCCAATATAACAGAGGGTATTCTATTAGAAAAAATACATGTTTGCTATGGCACGAAGTTACGGACCATCCTGTATATATTAAAATGATTTAAAAACGTGCACTAGCTACATAATATCAAAGTTTCCACGAAATATCTGTTACAGTTTGCTCATAAAAAAAAGTGATTTGCTCAAAAGGAACTTAAAAAAAATACTAACTTTTTCTCATCGCGACTCCGTAACCTTTCTCATCCAACTTTTCTCCAACTTGATTAAGCTCGCACTTGCGTTGTACCTCATATTCAATCGAAGTGGACTCCATGAAAAACGCGTACTGTTCCTTCCTAGCCTTTTCAACGCCCAGTTTATTCTCGCCCACTATGACTTCATCTTCGTGCGCCTTCATGAAAGCCCAAGCTTTCGCAAAATCGCTGTTTTCGTCCTGTTTAGCCTTATCCTGAAACATTCGTACCACTCGTTATGTGCCCATCAAAATAACGGGACGGATGGTCCGGTACAAATCGTTAAAAGCATTGTTGGCGAGGGTCGAGTCCTAGAAATGGTGCTGCTCAAATAAACAGACTAACCACGGCAGTGGTCGAACATATCAGAAAATCTGTGTAATAACATTCCCATTTTTCTAAATTTTTAATCTTCTACTATTTCTGTTATTATGCAACTTTTATGTAGGTGATTTTTGGAATATCAAGTCCTTTCGAAGAGTCCTACAAGCTGTTAAAATAAATGACTCAACTTTAAAAACACCCTGTTCAATTGACAGAATGGAATAATTGAATTTACGCATATAACGTCAATTTATAATTTTTAAAACTTCCGTAATTCTTGTCACAATAATTATCGAAAACGGGTTGAATATATCTTCAGTTTATGTGAAAAACAGTTGTTGGAAACGCACAATGTCCCTAACAATAAGTCGAAGACGAATTAATATTTCGAGCATGCCTGTCTCATAAGTAGTATATACGAACGTGCTATGAATATTATTTATCACTCTATGCAATACTCACATTTATGGATGCGGCATAAAATTATCACGCTTTCTTTGGACAAAACAGCAAGGAAAAATAACTGTAAGGGCATAACATGCATAATTCGTTCAAAATTTGTTTGAATTGTATACAGGGTGTCCGTAAAGTTGGGGTCTTCCTTTACACGACGTGTAGATCTTGAAAACATAAGCAATTTTTCTTATACACCAATGTCTTAAGGGAACCGAGATAAAGGGCTCTGCAACATCAAACATATCTGAATACCGTCCTGTAGCCGCGACCCGCGACATCACCGAGTGGTACAAGGTCACTTCAACCGACGGTTACGGTCACGCGTGTAGAGGTAATCGCGTAGACGAGAATCCCTCAACAAGCACTAGAGACGTGGCTAGAGAAGTGCAAGTATCACTAAAGTGTGGCAAACGCTGCGTGAAGAGGGGCTGTATCTGTTTCACGTCCAACGTGTACAAGCCCTTCAACCTGACGATTTTCCAGCAAGAGTGGAGTGTGAGTGGTTGTTGCATCAACATGACAATAATCCGGACTTTTTGAAGTGCATATTGGTGACAGACGAATCTACGTTCACGCGTAATGGGGTGAATAACTTTCGCGACGCTCATGTTTGGTCAGTAGAAAATCCGCACGCTGCCCGTCGGGCACATCTTCAACAAACATTTTCGGTGAATGTTTGGGCTGGCATGGTGAACGGTATGCTCGTTGGACCATTTATTCTCCCAAATCGATTGGACGGGATGCAATACCTAGACTTTTTACGCAACATTTTGCCTTCCTTGTTAGAAGATGTGCCATTAAGTGTAAGACAATCAATGTGGTTTCTGCACGATGGTCATATTTGTTACCTCTGTTCGTGGTCTGCATCACCGCCGGCGTCTGCTCGGTAGCGCATCAGCTGATTTCATTTTCTGTTGGAGCGGTACGATTTCGGGCAGAGACGTACTTAGCCCTTCTCGTCAACTGGAGAGTGAGTACTTTTTCCTTTATTTTTTTTTCACTTGGTCGCCCTCGTTTCACTACACATTACCATTGTTATTTCTGAAAAGGAAAACCCCAACGTTGCGGATTGCTGAAATTATAGCCAGTGACTGTACGGGTTACATTTTTAACAGAAGCTTCTTGATGATATAACGTCCCCGACTGACACTATAGATTTAACATTTAGAACCCCCTACCCCCGACCCAACCCCCAATTCCCAAGTTTCAACCCTCACAAATTCTTTTTCGAAAATGATAAGGAGCCTCTAAAACGCCAGAAACGAAGTTTGGGCAGTTTTTATTTGTTTCGTTTTTGGACTTCTTCGCCGCCACTCAAAAACTACAAAGCTTTATATCGTCCTTGGCATATTAGTATGTAGTGAAACGAGGGCGACCTACAAATCTTGAACTGGGCCGACTGAAGTGGGGAAGGGGCTCGTATAAAAAATTTCATCAAAATCCGAGCGGTATTTCCCAAGTTAAATACGCGCTATATTTGCTATTAGGATTTTTCCTGAGAACGTTTTTCGATGATCGTTGTTACGAATGCAAACTGTTGAAATACTCACTCTAAAAAAATTAACGGTAGCTCCTCCTTTCTTGGCCCCGTACTTGATCCGTTTTGTTTCGGCGTTCGTTACGAGTTCGTGGAAATTACTGAAATGCGGATCTGGATTCTCGGTGGTGAGAAAAGCGGCAAGATTCGCAGTGTACGAAGAAACCATCAGTAACGTGAAAAACCACCACATCCCAGCGACCATTCTTGTAGGAGGCGATCTACAAATGAACAAAGATAGTATACATTACATGCCTCGGTGGAGAATAATATCATTATGGGCTACAAACGTTTTAGTAATTTAATATTTGACAAGTCAAAGAAGGAAAAAATGATTGATACATAAAATACAGCGTGTTTGGTGCATCGTTTGCCAAATTCAAATGGCGGACAAAGGGGGTCTCTATCACCCCATGTCACTCACAGTTTTTAGCCCAACGGAATTAATTGTGTAGGTTTTTAATTTTTTTTAGTAAAAACTCCAAAACAAAGTGAAATACAAAAAATAAAGAGTATGTCCACCTAATGATTAATTTATCTTAATGGTTGATGTTGTACAAATCAACATTACTTGAAAGCAGCATGTAGTTTTTTATGTATAAACTCTCAAACGAGAAGAACGAAGAAGAATTCCTATACAAAAGAACTAAAAGAATCGGGACTCAATCCGAACAAATTCGACTTACTTGAGTTCAATCTCGGACCCCTGCTGCATGATAGACCCGGTGACGAACCAAAAACAGTTCCGTAGATCCAGCTGGTTCACCAGGTACTCCGGTTCCTTGATGCACGGGTACGGGTTCTCCCATTCTCCGGGAGAGATTCTTCCCACTACAAAAAGAAGTAGCGACACCCCGATCCAGGCGATTACGAGGAACTGCCAGACTTCGAAGGCGAACGGATCGGCGAATGAAAAGAAACTTGGAGGCGCTTTCGTCGGTTTTTTGTACAGAATGCTGATACCTGATAAAAGAAAGATCAGATTATAAATATTCTTCCTTACTATACTAAGTGACATATAAATCCGAACACAAAGTTTAGATGGTTTTATTTTAATAAGAGACAGACTGATGAAAACGAGTTACATCGTTTCTCGTGATTACATGGACCGACGAAAAGGTCGCACCCCTATTTGTGTGACAAATTAGATCCGTGCTCATTGAAAAATCGTTTAGGTCATTCCAAAAATATTTGATCGTCCAAAGAGAACTAAAGTCGCAGTCAACTTACCTAGCATCATGAAGGGACTCGTGAAATCCACCGCTTCTTCACGTTCCAATGTTATAGTAAGATCCGCTATTGCCAAGTCAGCCCTCTAGAAATAACAACTGTATAATTTAAGTCACTGTTACCTTAAAAAATTTGTAGATCAACATTTGATTCCCGAATTCTAGTTCATGTAATGCTAAGGTACCCCCCACGAACGGTTACAGGTGTTCCAGAGTCGAAAAGAATTAAGATCAAGACGCACTTGGTCTATTTTCATCAAGCGCGCACTTGGGACTAAATTTCGTACCGCCACGAGCTTCCTCAAATTACCAGGGCGTTCCGGTAAATACTTAGTCTATAAAAATTATTATTATTATTATATATATTGACCCATGTGAACAATACGTTTTCTGGAGGTCTGCAATATACAGGGTGTTTCAGTTTATTGTTGCATAACTTTAAGATTCGATAGAACTTGAAAAATTAATGCATAAAGTCTATATAAACATGGGTCGAAAAATGCGTGGCTTCCGAGATACAGGGTGTTTGAATTTACTATCTGAAATAGTTTTTTTTAAATATTTCGAACAATATTTGATGTATAACAGTGAAAATTGGTATACAAGGGTTTTTTGGTACGACAAAACGAACCATGGGCATAGTTTTACTGTAGCCGCTAGAGGGCGCTCGCTACTGTACCTGTAGTGTATTGAAATGACTGAAAATTTTTTCTTAGCGCAATTTTTTGCTTTTTGAATAAAAATACTGATTCTTCGCACTTTTCAAGATAAAAAAGCTCTCCTGTGAGTTTTCGTTATAGTTAGCCGTTTTTGAGATATTTCGATTTTTAAGGTTCGATGCATTTTTAATTATTTATGATAAAATAACGTTAAAAAGTACGTATCTCGATAATTTTTGGAAGTAGGCTGTGCCTGCAAATATTTTTTCAATTGAAAGCAGAATAAGGTTAAACGTCAGTTAGTTGACAGTTAGTTTTGTTGTCTGTTGAAACCTGAAACGTTTTTTTGCAATTGAGAATGCATGAAATTTAGTTTATTTTACCTGTTCTTTTTTTGTAACTTTCATAAAAATTCGATTCGATAGAACTTGAAAAATTAATGCATAAAGTCTATATAAACATGGGTCGAAAAATGCGTGGCTTCCGAAATACAGGGTGTTTGAATTTACTTTCTAAAATAGTTTTTTTTAAATATTTCGAACAATATTTGATGTATAACAGTGAAAATTGGTATACAAGGGTTTTTTGGTACGACAAAACGAACCACGGGCATAGTTCTACTGTAGCCGCTAGAGGGCGCTCGCTACTGTACCTGTAGTGTATTGAAATGACTGAAAATTTTTTCTTAGTGCAATTTTTTGCTTTTTGAATAAAAAAACTGATTCTTCACACTTTTCGACATAAAGAAGCTCTCTTGTGAATTTTCGTTATAGTTAGCCGTTTTTGAGATATTTCGATTTTTAAGGTTCGATGCATTTTTAATTATTTATGATAAAATAACGTTAAAAAGTCAGTATCTCGATGATTTTCAGAAGTAGGCTGTGCCTGCAAATATTTTTGAAATTGAAAACAGGATAAGGTTAAACGTCAATTAGTTGACAGTTAGTTTTGTTGTCTGTTGAAACCTGAAACGTTTTTTTGCAATTGAGAATGCATGAAATTTAGTTTATTACACCTGTTTTTTTTGTAACTTTCATAAAAATGCCATTTTTATTTTGAATAATAATTATGGTGCTCAGTCTTATAGTTTGAATTACATACCCCATCAATAAGATCTCCAATGATACCAGTCCACTTGCCAGTCTTGTTATCGTATTCCCCATTTTTCTTGTCTTCCCTGACTATAAAGGTATAGTTGAAACCTCTCATCGCTGAAAGTTCCTTGATCAAATCAATACCAAAACCTTCGTATTGGTCGTTACCGTAGAGAGGTTCCAGGGACTCGACTCTCATGCCATACGGTTCCGTCTGAAAATATGAGATCCATGGTTATTGCGATATGCGAATATTTGTAAAATATATATCGTCTAATGTTACCTGTCTGATTTCACAAATTCGACAAGCTCCTGCAATCTCAAATACAACAAGCCAGTAAATGAACTTCATCGGGAGCATTATTTAAAAAAATCACTAATTTGTGTACTCGTAAAAATCGCAGCTTTCTTTTGCTTCTAAGCTTTAAATCAAGTCACAAAATTAAGTTGACAGCTATTTGATTACTTTAGCGTTTCCTTAGCCACGCTATAAGTACAACCTAGCCTACTAATTTCAAAATTCAAATTTCACATCGATAATTTTCTGAATGTAATATTGTAATAATATAATTTTTCAATATTAAATCTTCGTTTCTCCTGACACACCAAAGCATTGTGTATTATACACGGAAAAAGTACCATATTTTAGCTAAAATCTAGTACTCTTTTCCCTTGTATAATAAATAACTGTTTATAATTGTTGCATACTACGTTTAATAACAATTTTAAAAACGTTTAAATAATTAGTCATAGTAGAACAGATTAAAGAATAAAATTACGCGCAATTTTTTGGAACCAAAACTTAGAGAACTTGGACATCCGGATGTGTGGTTTCAACACGATGGAGCTACGGCTCATACGGCAAAAAGAACAATGGACCTTTAAGGAAAGTGTTTCCAGGACGAGTAATCTCGTTACGTAGAGACGTTGGGAAGCCTGCGCGTTCACCCTTTCTTGCCCCATGCATCTTTTTCCTTGAGGCTATCTAAAAGCAAAGGTTTTTCAACACCACCCCCGAAATATTTACGAAATGAAACCAGCGATATGCCAAGAAATTACAGAAATATCTCCTCAAATTGCTGCTCGAGAGATGGAGACTTTCAGAAACAGTATCGGAAACTTGACTTAATAACATAGCATGAATTTCTAGTTAATAAAAATAAAATCTAAGTAGCATTTACAATGGTGTTTTTACTAAAGCTTAAAATGTGGGAGATCATGTTGCCGGACCTTGTATGAATAAGTGCGAGCCACAAAAAGCTTGACCTAACCTAGGATCAGAAATTATACATATTCTACATTAGGACTAGAGTACAGTAGATTATTGTTAACTTTCCAGAGTAAGACAGCAACTAGTTTTTCAGAAGCTAGTTTGATATCTAAGATAAAGTTCCATATTGCTCACCAATGTGATGATGACCTTGAAAGTCTGATTCTTAATATCCAGCATTTCTGAATCCAGCTTCGGAGAAGGTCTCGATATGTTCAAAGCTGGAGTCTTTTTGGTGCTCCAAGTACCCACTACCGATTGTCCATCTTCTTTTAGCTCCATCACGTCCAGCGCGAAGTCTGATCTAACGCCTTTTATGTCGAATCGAATGTTACCTGTAATTCCTGGATAATCCATCTGGAACAATACAGGATAATTAAAAAAAAGGTACCAGTATTTGGACGCGCAGAGTTCGTACCGTCGAAAATGATACGACTGGCATTTGCAAAAAATAGTATCAGTATCCTCAACGTACAAGTCAACCGATCAAATTTCCAGGTAAGAAAAAAGGACCAACTAAACGATCGCCGAAAATACCAGCCCAAACAATTAATTTTTGTGGCTGCTGTGTAACATTTAAGATATTCAAAGGCGAAATATCTGTCAATCATCCAGACGCGATCTTGCTATTTAACCAACTTTCTTCTCAGAGACGAAAACTATAGACTACTCGGCGTCACAAAACGTATGCAACGAACAATGCGTGTAGACGCGTAGTTGAGCCATTGCTCCATAGATGGACGCTCACAACGATCCTAGTGAGCGAACGTGGAATGACTGTTTGCACCCTAAAAAGTTTGTGTCAGCCCAATAGCGCATGTTTTGTTTGTTGACGGATCCGCGGAAATGAAAATGGGCTTCGTCACTAAAAAAATAGCGTCCTCACAGAACGATCGGAACCATTGCAGCTCTCGCTGCGTCAATGTTTTCAGCCGATCTAATGGGCTGAGAGACACCAGTTATCCGTCTCGTCGCACTTGCTGCTTGTCTGAACATAGTGACCCAAGTAACAATTGATTTCCGTTGCGGCACGTACCCTGTCAAGTGACATTTTGTCGTTTTTTTTTTCACATATCGGTGCTTCAGCTACCAATGTTTGGCTCTGATGTGATGTAACAACCGCTTCAGAGATGGCGTTAACATGAATTCATTTTTTCAACTTTATCGTTGATTCTATCTCTTATTCGCTAAAAAATCTTATTTAGTTTACAAAATCCTCGAAAATAAAGACGTTTTCGGTGTTCCGGTACCGCGTCTCAAACGGGGCAGCTCTATGAGCATAGAGTTGGCCACAGCGCCATCTATGGGGCACTAACCTTGTCGAAGTAGGTTTCTAATTATTGTGGAGAGAAGAAACATATTTGTGAAAAATTCTGATAGATACGCTACGGAATCTAATTTCGTCTTGGATAATTTGTTGGATGTCGAAATATAAGTATGGTTGGTTAGCTTCAGGGGTAACGAGTCATTCAATGTTTAAAACCACGACTATTTCACCTAAGAACTGCCTTTTGGAGTAATCGAGCTGGAATATCTTTAAAGAAAATAACGAACAACTCAAACAGGTACTTTTTTGGCAGAATCAAATTATATAGTTTTAAATAAACGACGCTTGCTTTAGGCAGCAAGTTTTCGCTCGTCATAAATCTCAAACATTTCCTATCCCTTTATGGATGGTACCTACAGTCTTCACAGTATTGATAATGGTAGTCCCGCTTCTAAATCTATCAGCATCGTTATAACAATCAAGCGGTACCGGCTTAACCATCGGTCTGATAGACCTGACAGCACTGCCGAACATTTTCACGGCATCAAACGTCAACGCTTCCTCCAATCTGATCTCAAAGCCTATCAGGGGATTGCTGATACTGGAACAGTCCGTTTCTGAGACGCTCCTCATGTTACACACGGTGCGCTTCAGGTACTCGTCCTCCGGGTCCACGAACCGCATCTGGAAAGCAAATCATCTATTGACAAATTCTCCAAGCAAATGTCGCACCCTGTATTTCAACGTTCACAAACAGACTCTATTTTCATTTTTTGCTATTAAACGTGATATTAACCTTGCTAGAGAGGACCGAATCAGAAATTGCATAATCCCCTTAGTTCGAGATGAGGAAAGGTCGGCACCTAAAGGCGGTGATCAACACATGCAATTATATGCATCAATTGTTGAACTATGTTGATCAATGCCGTGGTATTAAAAGTTGTCAAACTTACTGCTGTGATATTGGTCTTGCTATGTTGATACGGAGCCAAATCGAGAGTGTGAAGGTCCAAATTGGTGATGATGAAGTGGTGTTTGTCGGTCATCAATCCGACTTGCTGCGCTTGGACCAGAACTTCGTTCAAGATTTTGATAGAACAGTCAAGCACGAAATGAGTGCCGCCGAAGTCTCTGACTTCTTTGAATGTTGGTCTAAAACAATATTTTAGAAAAAACTGTCAGCAGGTTTCAATATAGAGAGGAGAAGAGGGTGCATTGTTAGAGAAACAATGTTTTAGAATAAAATCTCAGGCCTCCAAGCATGACCATGATGCCATTTTTGGACCTTTAAAAAATGGATGCGTGCCGATCTTTCGGGGTGTTCGGGTATTTAATATTATGTTAACTTACCTGTAGTCGCTGATACCGTGGGGGTCAAGCTGTCTGACAACGATGACAGTCTCTTCTCCGAACAGTTTAAGTAATTCTCCGACACGCTGCAAACTTTCGTCGTTTTCGTACAGGATAACAAAATGTCGCCATCCCCAGGAAGTGATCAAGTCGTAGTATGTTTTGGTCAACGTGTCGGGGTATGGATGGACGTTTATTATTGCGTCCGTCATGTGATCGTCCCATCTCACCTTGAAAACGAAAATTGAAAACTTTAGATAGTGTCTAACCGAAAATATTTTCTTGTTTCTCTTTGCTCTTCTGTCTTTCCCTCTTCTCTTATCTCCTTATTAATGTTCGGATTGGATTTTCAAATTGTAACACAAATTATCTTTATTGAGCTCCATTATCATCTGGTTAAAATAAACCGCATACAGGGTGGTCCAACGAAAAGGCTGCACACCTCCTGGTGCAAGCATGCCTAGGCGCGATGGAGAATGCGTAGCACATCCAGGGTGCATCCACACATTATTAAAGGTCAAAGGGCTTTAAAGCAGTGCAATCATTTTGAAATTTTTATCATTTACTTATTATGCTTCATTAAGTACTTATACAAAATTTTATTAAAATAAAACCATTTAAACTGGGTGTTCGGATTTATATGTCACTTAGTATATATAGAATTTTATTATAAACTCAAATAGCTTCACAACGACTGACCAGGAGAGTCGCAAATGGAGGTGCGACCTGTTCGTTGGGCCACCCTGTATATGTACGGCTGAAGTATTTACGTGACTAGTTCTTAGAGACATTGTTACAGACACAGCTATTTTCTTATAGCACCGTACATTTATCTCTTTCCGAGGTCCTTACACTATCAACCAGCTTTAACTAAGAATAAAAAACCTTATTCTCAATAAATTTTCTTTGGTTTCTGAACAAAGTGTTTATTTTTTTATTGCTTTGTGAGAAGCAGTGGGAAGGGACTCGAACAAAATGTAGCCCGCTTGATGAGAACAAGACTTTTGGGTTTGTTTTCAATTTCCTATTTTCTTTTTCAGGTATTAGAAAAGACAAAGACAACGTAAGCTCATTTGTCCTTGTATAGGAAAACTGCTATTAGGGTTACATGGTAATCAAACACAATTACCTTACTGTGATTTAAAAATAAAATAAGTGCTTTCTGAATTCAAATTACTAATAATGTACTCAGCAAATCGTTAAAAGGATTCTAAATTTTTTCAGTCTCATTTGAGAGATTAAAAAATCTCAAACAAGAGGTTTCTTACCTCAATATGCGGTATCTCCTTAAAGTCGCATACAGACTGCACCACGTTAGAATTCTGCTCAGAAAGCGGTCCTAAAATCCCGACGACTCCTTCTTCTAATAGCTCACAAGTGACGTCCACAGCTTCAAACGGCTTCGATCCATTCAGGTATCGGACGACAGCTTCAAATTCTACAGTTTCGTCTTCTATGTCTTCCACGTCGTCTTCATTCAGAGATCGGATCGCCTCTTGAAGCGCCGCTTCTAGTCTGGGGTGATTCTCCGTGTCGAATATGGCACCTGCGCAAATTTTTAAGATGAAGACTGTAAGCTTCTAGATCACCAACGGCACTACTTCATACTACCATCGATTAACGTATCCTGCCTGAAGATAGCCAAATATGTGGAAGCATACACAATATTTTAGACACGTCTCTGCATGCGAGTCACCCTGTAAAAGGGTCATTCGACGCTAGGGATGCTAAGAAAGGCACTCTCGGCAAACACATTTCAACAATGATGTAGTAGACTGACAACATGAAGGACACCTGGAGTTAGAATCGCTGGATCGGTCGTGATGGGCCTATATCTTGGCCTCCTAGATCACCAGATACGACACCTATGGACCTCTTTCTATGGGGCTACGTTAAGCAAGACGTTTATACTCGCAGATATCCACCGACTACCCCGAAAAATATGAAGGAGAGGATTAAGGATATTTTTCTGAACATAAAGAATTAGAAAACGTGTTTTTTGGGGATTCAATCGAAAGTGTTGATAGGAACGAAAAATACTTTATTCATAAGATTTTTTGGTATTTATGAGACCTACAGAATGAGACGACACGCGAAAGGATCCGACTCATAGCAAATATGTTAAGGCCGAAAAACCAGGCAAAATGCAGGTTTTGACTCTTGTTGGTAATGCGACGATAATTTTACGCAACAATAACATTTATCTTCCGGAATAGTTTGCGATCCATATCGGCAAAGTAAGCTAATGTATTTTGCTATAAAATGCCCTTTGAACTTACCCTGTATATTGCTCAATAAACTTGTAGTAATGGCCGGAAAACAGATGTTTTGCGATAAACAATTAGAAATTCTCAAAGACTACTTGACCAATCTACTCCAATTTTGTTGTAGTTATTTAGAAGTACAAATCCTACAAATTTGAAGAATTTCAACTATATACATTCCAATAAAAATCATTATTATTATTATTACCTCGACATTGTCGGCCATAAAGGGAGGTGCTTCTCAGGCAGGTTTGTCGTTTTTACGTTTGTCGTTATATTCTATTATCATCATCCCTTCGTAGCCTATTTGTTATAATGACTGCAGTTAACCTTTTTTTAAAAGCTAGTACTGAACGTAATGTTTTATAAACTGATCGCGTTGCGTGGAAAGTGCAGAGTGAACGTACTTGATGCCACCAATTTTATTTGTTTCATGTCTCTAAGAAACTATGATTTTCTGTGACTGGAATTTCAAACACTATACGTCCATACATCAAACTAAATTTAGCCAATAAAAAATGAGACTGTTGCCAAATAGTATTCACCTTGCCGTATCCGCCTGGATCGTATATATCATCCCACCTTTCAGAACTGGCATGTTTTCGTGTACATCAAAAAATACGTTAAACATTATTGCGCTTGTAAAGCTGTTCAGTTTTGCACATATGCAATGTTATCAGGGTGTTTCAGTTTATTGTTGCATAACTTTAAGATTCGATAGAACTTTTAAAATTAATGCATAAAGTCTATATAAACATGCGTCGAATAATGCGTGGCTTCCGAAATACAGGGTGTTTAAATTTACTTTCTAAAATAGTTTTTTTTGAATATTTCGAACAACATTTGATGTATAAAAGTGAAAACTGGTATAAAAGGGTTTTTTGGTACGACAAAACGAACCATGGGCATAGTTTTACTGTAGCCGCTAGAGGGCGCTCTCTACTGTACCTGTAGTGCATTAAAATGACCGAAAAATTTTTCTAAGTGCAATTTTTTGCTTTTTGAATAAACATTATTTAAGGGACCGTTTCTCCACTACCAGGTCCATTGCAAATGAATGGTTTGCGAAGTGTTTACCGACGAATGAGAAGTTTTGGCTTGTTTTCATACCAGCCACACTGGGTCCTCCCTTTAACTCGAGAACACCGACGTAATCGCCTTGAGTGGTGCAGACAACGGTCACTCTGGGATCAGGAATGGAACAGTATTGTCTTTAGTGACGAGTCTCGATTTTGTTTAGGCATGCACGATGGTCGTGCCAGGGTTAGAAGGCGACGTGGTGAAAGGAGGAATCCACAGTTTTTTGTTGAAAGACATGTTCATCACACTGTTGGAGTTATGGTTTGGGGTGCTATAGCGTATGGTTCCAGGTCACCTTTAATCTTCATCAGAGGTAACATGAATGCGCAGCGTTATATCCACGAAGTTCTAGAACCCCATCTTTTACCCTATAACTAACTTTCCAACAAGATAATGCCCGACCACATGTTGCAAGAGTCACAATACACTTCTTTCAACATAATGATGTCACATTGTTACCATGGCCACCAAGATCTCCCGACTTATCTCTAATTGAGCACGTGTGGGATATGATGGGTAGGAGATTGCTCAATTTGCAACGTCCTCCTCAGACTCTAGAAGCACTTCGAGAGGAGTTGGTGGTTGCCTGGAATGAGATACCACAGGAGGACATTGACCACCTGATCAGAAGCATGCCTAGGCGCGTTGGAGAATGCGTAGCACATCAGGGTGCATCCACACATTATTAAAGGCTTTAAAGCAGTGCAATCATTTTGATTTTTTTATAATTTACTTATTATGCTTCATTAAGTACTTATACAAAATTTTATTAAAATAAAACCATTTGAACTGGGTGTTCGGATTCATATGTCACTTAGTCTAACAACAAAGAACAGTGGTTAGTTATCGTTTTGCATAGAATCGGGCGTGTTGTTTTGTTTTTGTTCGCGTACGTCGTCGTGTTTATTTACAACGTTCTCGAATCAGGAGTTCGCCGACATGTTGTTAGTTTACGGTGAAGCTCGTCAGAATTCAAATCTTGCGGCTCAAACGTATCGCTACAGATTTCGCCAACGGGTACACCGAGACAGAAGGACATTTGTCTTGTCTAAAACATTCTTCTGTAGTTCTTCTGATATCAAAAAATTACCTCAGTAAAGCCATTGTAATGCCAGTTAGGTATTAATATCGATCATTTTTATTGTCATTCAAATTTAATATTTGCAATCTTTCTGCAGACTAAAACATGCCAGTAACAGAAGCTGTTGATGAAATATTAAAAGCTTTTTTAAAGTATTTTGACATGGATTATCGAGATTAGAAAAACACCTGGGTGAATGTAACAGGAGAAGGCCAACACTGCCTGAATAGTTAAAACATGCATGATGTTGGTTATATTTGAATTTTTAGACAAAGCGCCTACATTGTGCTCTATAAAAGAAAAACAAACATTCCACAATACACACAGCATCAATCTATTTCTGTAAGGTTTACTAACCCAACCTATACACTTGATTCTCGCGACCTTTCTCACTTTGCTGTTGGATGCATCTCAGCCTGGGCAGGATCAGGAACAGCTGGATCAGAAACCGTGCGAGGCTTCCCGAGCCCGTCATTTTTTTAAATTGGGTACATAACAGTAAACTGTTCCGATTTCGATCACAGGTTCGCGCGTTTGGTTTGTATTTTGTATTACTCCGATGTGGAACTCTCTCCGAGCCGCCTTGGCTATTTTTAGGAACAAAACGAAGTCCACATTTCCAGGAGAGGCAAGCAGTGCAGGCGCACAGTGGGCCAGAGAGGCGCAAAAAATTTCCGTTCATCAACTTATGAGCGAAAACGTCCAATCTCATCTTCTTGTTGCGCCGAGTCTACATTTCATAGCTGTGGAACGGTGTAGAGTGAGTAAAGAGGCTTCCTCTCGAGTACTTACTGAGCAAAACCTACATATACATACATATACAGGGTGGCGCATGAAAGACATGTTCATCACACTGTTGGAGTTATGGTTTGGGGTGCTATAGCTTATGGTTCCAGGTCACCTTTAATCTTCATCAGAGGTAACATGAACGCGCAGACTTCTTTCAACATAATGATGTCACATTGTTACCATGGCCACCAGGATCTCCCGACCTATCCCCAATTGAGCACGTGTGGGATATGATGGGTAGGAGAGATTGCTCAATTTGCAACGTCCTCCTCAGACTCTAGAAGCACTTCGAGAGGAGTTGGTGGTTGCCTGGAATGAGATACCACAGGAGGACATTGACCACCTGATCAGAAGCATGCCGAGGCGCGTTGGAGAATGCGTAGCACATCACGGTGCATCCACACATTATTAAAGGTCAAAGGGCTTTAAAGCAGTGCAATCATTTTGAAATTTTTATCATTTACTTATTATGCTTCATTAAGTACTTATACAAAATTTTATTAAAATAAAACCATTTAAACTGGGTGTTGGGATTTATATGTCACTTAGTATAAAAAGATACAACCAGATATGCGTTGTTTGTTTAAAAACAATGGGAAAAGCTCAAAATTCAGTATTTTGCTTGTATAATCTTTAAATTAAATCTCATAAATAACCGGTAAACTGGAGGTTTTAGAGCACGAAATGATCGTCAAGTTTATATTTAAGAAATAATATCGATAAACAAAATTAGCAAAATGCAATATTATACAAATGTTTATAACTATATATGTATATAGTATTCAACTCGTTAGGACAAAGTACGCTTGAATTTCTTTGAGGCGTAGACAAAGTACACTCTTTTAACTTGAAACGCAAGCTTTCGTTGGTCTATGCCATCGTCATCAGGAGCTAAAAAAATTGGAAATAGCAACAATAAGTAATTTTGAGAAATATCATTACTTATTAAGTCGGCCAGATTGTTGCTGAAATTGTTCTTAGACGAAAGTAGAAAAGCACATGGTCAATAATTTTTTAATTTATTAATTAGTAAAACTATAGCTATGTTGATTCATATAATTTAAGAAATAGGAAAATGATGGCCAAAATCCGCAAAAAGAAGGAAAGCAGTCGAGCAGAAAACCTAGGAATATGGAGTATGAGTTGCTGTGTGATTTACGACAAAACCAAGTTTAAATAAAAGCGTGTTATTAAAAATGTATTTTTTTTATTTATCAATTGCTCAAAACAAAACTGCAAGCAAAAGCAGAATAAAGAACACCACCTTGCCTGTACAAGGCCACGCTAAGTCTACAACAAAAACGAATATAATCATTATATCACAGGAAGCCATGTAATATTAAAACAAAGGACAATCACCCATCCACATGTTACGTAAAACCAGACGACACATGCACATACCATACAATGCTGATGACAAAACGACAATGAAAGTGAAATTTCATAAGTGAACCAGATGAAAAGGGGCAACGACTGTGAAACGACCAGAATAATGAATGCTATTTTTATGTATAATTTTTCGTTTGGCAATAGTAGTTCTTACTTGGCAATGGCACTGACACAATTCTTATTCTTTCTATTAATTTATATAGATGTTGTGTCCCATAATTTGGCTGATTTGGTGTATGTTAACTTCCACTTTCAACTGTGCTGATCAGTTTGGAATTTTCGTTGAATAGTGACGCATTGGACTTTCCCCAAAATTCGAAACATCATACACAGGACCGCATTTAAAGGGCAGTCTCACGCTTAGAGGTCTACCTTCAGATGTTCCTTTGCGGACAGAACCAGTTTCAACAAGACGACGACGAATACTAGAAAAGGTTCGACTGGCAAAGCACGATCGGGATATCTCTGGTGATAAATCCGTCTGGTAATGGTAATTCACCATTATTAACAAGATTGTAAAAATTAAATAATGAAAAAGACGACACAACGAACAGATTTGAATAACAGAGACTTGTGAGATGTCAAAAGCCAGTGACATATTCCGGAGCAACTATATATTTCTTGCTAAATTGCACTCTTCAATTTTTATCACATTCTCGGACAATAGAACGGTTTCTATTTAAACCCAGGAACCTTGAGCCTGAAGTCAATAGTCGGATATCCAAAGGTGACCTTGGATCTAACCTTGGCCATTACTTTCAAGGTCATTTGAAGGACTAGCCATTTTTTTTAAATCGAACACCCCATTTTGACTCTGTAAAGTGCGGAAAATTTCACGTTTAAATATTATGGTCTAACCATTCTTAAATTTTGACTTTTGGTCATCGTTAAGGTAAAACCGAGGAACCTTGAGCCTGAAGCCAATAGTCGGATATCCAAAGGTGACCTTGGATCTAACCTTGGCCATGACTTTCAAGGTCTTCTGAAGTTTAACTCTTCCTGAATGGGACCGTATATGTTCACCGCGGAACTGGAGAGAAGGGAAAAATATGTCCTTGACAATTCTCAGAACTTGGCCTTGGATCAAGGTCAAACATTAGGTCACCTTAATTTCTAGATGATTCAGAAAATTGTGTAATCCCGAGATAAACTGACATCTCTGTTCTTTCAGGATTGTCCCTGACTACACATGACCTTGAAGATAATAATTTTCAAGGTCATATCTAAGGTCACAACTTGATATCCAGGGGAAGATCACAAAAATAATGTCTCGATAGTTTCCCCGTACGACTACTAGCTTTCAAGTTATATCACCGTACCTGGATTTGATCTTGACCATAACCTCCTAAGGTCAAAATTTAAGAATAGTCAAGACCATATTTGAACGAAAGGTTTTTCGCTTTTTCCATTTATAGGGTCATGAATTGTTGGATTTATTTAAAATATTAATTTCACCTTCAAATGATTTGATATCCAAATATTGATACAATATACTGGGTGGCGCATCGAAAACGAAACACAAAAAAAAAGCAGTATAAAAACCGGAATGTCCAACTGATAAGGCTGAACATTTTTTCACTTGTTATTTACAGTAAGATAAATACATTCACCAACTTTTATTAAAATAAAACCATTTAAACTGGGTGTTCGGATTTATATGTCACTTAGTATATTATAATTTGTATCAGATGAAGCTGAAGAAATTTATTTGATTTCATTTTTCGCAGTAAAACTATTATACTTGCGGAAACAGTTAATTTGCCAACAATAAATACCATGAACAATGAATTTGTTACATTCTTCCTAGTATTGTGTGTATGGTGGCGTGGTGATATTTGCGAATTTCGTAACGCACGTCCTGTATGTGCTAAGCAAAAACATATACAAACATCTCTGCACACTTTCTAAAACAACACCATCAGTATGAATGTGGGTATTTGTAGATTAAAAATCCTCACGTGTAATTTTTACAAATTAAATAACATTCATCTTCTGAACATCGATTGGCTCTGTACTACCTATGTCTGAACAACTGGACTAGTCTGAACGTCCGTTCAACCATATTGCTCTATCGATTTGCACATGGTAAATCCAAAGGTGACCTTGTATCTAACCTTGGCCATGACTTTCAAGGTCTTCTGAAGTTCAACTCTTCCTGAATGGGACCGTATATGTTCACCGCGGAACTGGAGAGAAGGGAAAAATATGTCCTTGACCATTCTCAGAACTTGGCCTTGGATCAAGGTCAAACATAAGTCTACCTTAATTTCTAGATGATTCAGAAAATTTTGTAATCCCCAGATAAACTGACGTCTCTGTTATTTCAGGATTGTTCCCTGACTATGCATGTCCTTGAAGATAATCATTTTCAAGGTCATATCTAAGGTCACAATTGGATATCCAGGGGAAGATCACAAAAATAATGTCTCGCTGGTGTCCCTATACGACTACTAGCTTTCAAGTTATATCACCGTACCTGGATTTGATCTTGACAATAACCTCCTAAGGTCAAAATTCAAGAATAGTCCCCCTTTCCCCTATATCCCCCTATACAAATATTGATACAATATATAAATGCTCCTCCTGTGGCGAAGTGGGAAGGGGCTCGTACATATCACATAACATCCAGAAAACAATACTTCGAAAGTTTTCGCGATTACAATGCTTTCTTGCCAGTTTCGGCATAGAAAGTAAAACTTGCTGCCCTACGTCGCGCTCCCCAGCAAATCTTTGTAGCTCCGCCCATGGCCTTCAAAGTGATAACCACTAACAGATAGTAGGTGAGATACCTTATAAGCAAAGTGATAATTGTATAATTAGAATTAGCAGCTCTTCCTGCAAAGATGACCACGAAGAAGAAGAAGAAGAAAACATCGGTGACATTAGTGGCGTTGATAGCAATATATTACTCGCTAATTATGGTCATGTTAAATTCTCTTTTTTTCCTAGTAAGACGGATTTGAGTGACACACTTGGTCTCGACAATTATTGCTTATAAGCTCACTAATATACAAATACCAGTTCGATCATATCCGTAACATTTTTCTTACCAGGACATAGAAAAAAGTTTATTTCCTCGAGAGAAAATAACGCAAGATACAGCGTTTCGGACCAAAAGACAAACTGTTGATAAATCTTAAACAGCTTCCAGTCCATTAGCAGGTTTTTAGTAAAATGTTTGAAAAATGCTTTGTGGCTCAAACAGTATTCATCTCTTTTTGAACAGAATAATTTGTTCTGCTAAAATCAATTTGGCTTTAAGAAACAAAACAATACTATTTGGCTATATGGAGATTAGTGGAAGACATCACAAGCCACATCATAAATTGTCAAAATTGGATCTAATTCATGTAATGAAAAATTGATCGAGCACGGTGGGTGTACCTCAAGGTTATCATGGGTGCTGCGTTGCTTCTTATTTTTATCAATGCCTACCTTATAAAAATGAAGGCAATTGTATTTTATTTGCAGATGACCCCACCGTCTCAGTGGACAGTTATCGTATTGCTGAGCTTTTTCAGGAGGCTGAAGCTATGCAATCGCTGGTTGGATGAGAATATTCTACCCACAAGTCCAACCACATGATTATGTACAAAAATTAGCCATCGAAGTTGCACATACCTCCTTCATCTGCTGGCCTCCCAAAATACTGAACTGCAACGTCGCATCAGCGCTTAAGGTGGTTAAGCAAGTAGTGGCGAAATGATAGGACTATAGAAGAGTAGCGTCACTCCGTCGTTAAAACAGTTTCCTACCAAATCCTACGTGCAGTTAAACTGTGATGTCTGTGATATAGCAGCTAGTCAGGAGGAAGGTAAACATCCAGGAATGAAGGCCACCTGGATTGTTTTACGTGTTGCGAAACTAGCAGGAAGTGGGCTGCTAATGTTTCGATGCTCCGCTAATGATGTAAAGGCGACTATTGTTATTCTAACATATTTGGAGTTTGAGACATCGTCGCTTAAGTTGTAACACCACTAAACGCAAAGGATAACTTATGTATTTGCTTAAAAAAGCCACCGTGAATGCCGCAATGTCATCAGTAGGCACTATTAGCTTATGAGGTTACATTTGCGACTAGACAAACATGGAGGATTATAAGATCCAAAGGCCCACCATTCTTTTATGCTCTCCTAAAAAGTTGTTAGTTTTAAGTTACATCGTGCTGGAACTCTTTTTGTTTAAATTTTTGTGATTCATGACTGGGTAGTACCAAAAAGAAGAAAATACAACAAATTTGTTATTTAGTTTTGCATTCTACGTCAATAATTATCGCCAAACATTTCCAAAGTAGATCGTTCAAGTATATTGCGAGAAAATAGATGTGATGTTCCATTTCTTTATCTAATTTTATACTCTTCAGTCTACATTATTCATGTTCCCTAAAAAATAAATACGCACATTCAAAAAACAAAGTGATTGTTTTCATCTAGACTGAAAAAGCTTTTAGGATGTAAGCACACAGTTTGGAAAATCTGCTTTCTTTTCTGATTACTAAGTTTAGCGCTCTTGCACTCATTTTCAAACTTGCGACCGAACAATAATCCATTCCAACCTCTGTTAGAATCAGTATAGTAGTTACTGATATTGCACAATGTCAAGGAAACCAGAACGACAGGTGGGTTATCGCCAATGGGTGGAACGCACTCTATTTTTCAAGCCTATTTTCCAGAAAATGCTATTTATCATATATCGTCTAGACAGAAAAAATAATAATATGTATTACCCTGTATAAACTCAATTACTCTATGACATGCCAAACTCTGTTGAAAACAATAAAATTGAAAGTAGGTAACCCATTCAGGTGAACCATCCGCCAGTAACCTTTCTTCCCTTTATTTGGATATCTACAATGTAAGTGTGGATAAATAAAGACGTCTATTATTATTATTATTATCTTGGTCGCCTCCAGGCAGTAAATCATAAACTAAAAAAACCTATTGTATACCGGCATGTGTGTGGGCGTATCTATCCAGTTGAAGGGTGGATATAAAGCTGGACATACACGCTAATAAAATACTCAGCAGCCTGGTTAACTAACCATTATGGATATTCAGATTAATGATTCCGCCACAATATTGATCTGTATGAATATTTTGGTGAACAAATCATAATCAGCTGTCTCTACCCTCACTCCGAAGATACACGACGCGAATTCCTACCTAGAATCTCCCAGCGTTTGAGAAGCTTCATTCCAGCCGGGGCCTTTGATTTCTTACCTCTCGTCTTTCGCTCATACGCAATTGGTCTATAAAATGCTCAAGTTGATTCCTTTATTACCAACGGCATATTTGAGAGTGGAAGGATTTGCGACGATTTTTAAGATAACGATATATCAATTTTCCTACTTTTAAATCTTCAGACACAACACTTGAAAATACGAAATATACACACTCCTTAAAGTGTTTTGAAGGGTGCTCCATGTAAAATTTCTCTAAGAATTCTAGTTGCTACCCTCAAAACTCTTATTGTTATTGTAACCTGTTTATCGCATGTCCTTTCGGTAAACATTACCGTGTATGTTTAGCTTGTATAGAAGATAATAATGAGAAGCGAAAGAGTGAAACCAACAGACAAGCGAAAAAACGAAGATAATCAGCATGCAAAATTTATCCCACTTATTAAAAATCTAACTTTGCTTAGGTTCATTTCGCAATAGAAAGCCATTGTAGACGAATTTTTGTGAAAAGAGAAAAACAAAAACGCTGCAGCGCATCGCTAATGCCACAATTACACGTTTTACTTACGAAACTGTCATAATAATAGGTTTGGAAGGTGAGAGGACGATACTATTTGCATAGAGAATATATTCCGATAAGCCCGATGATATAGAAAGTAAAATTTCCGAATGTCATACAAATGTGTACGGGTAACTGAGACCTTCATTGGCGTATCCAAATTTTATTTGAGCACATGAATGGTGGAGACAAATTCTAGATATTCACGAAGTTTTTTTTTCAATCGGAGCCAAATTTTTTATAATACCATAGTATTTATTGAAATAAGACAACAGGGAGCGCCATCTATTACCACTGCGGTTTAACCATAAAGATGTCACTTCACGTTGGTTAGCCCAGACTCCACTGTGCCCGTAGAGGCTGACGATTCTGGCGGTATAGCAGAGATGATCAACTCGCCGTTGAATCACCAAAGCCAACCATGGTCAGCTGCCTTATTTCGATAGATCTTTTACCTTGGATTGAGTATAATTGCCATGTCTCAGATGCTTATCGTATTTCGTAATCAACGATTACACAAAACAAAGTTTGAGGATTCCTTAATGGGCAAAAGGGTCGTGTAGCGAAAAAAAGTTGACATGTAGAAGTTTTGCAGCCCCTTTGATTGGCTGCATCTGTCAGTCTGAGCTGAAGTGCATACAGTATTGGATGATCCTCAAGGAAGCGTCCCGGTTTGCTTAAAACCGAAGAAGGCATCATTCCTCAAACGGCAGGTGTGGGGAGATAGTACAAGCCAATCTGAGTCGATTTTGCTATAGGAACTATTGTCCGAAAATTAGCCGTTCTCGAATTATACTAATTTTTAAGATTTTGTACAATATCTCCGTGTTGGAAATTTGAAAAATTTGTAACAACTGAAGACTGAAGATACTAATAAACCAGGTTACGAGTTTTTGGTACATTTTGTCACGTCACTGACTGCATTCGAGTTTCCGTGGCAGCGATCGTGAACCGCCCAGCTTGCTCGATACGCATCGCAGATTCTACCAACCTATGTCAACATGCTCATGCATGGAAAACAATGTTAGATGTATGTGCAAAACCGAATAGAAATATCCGAAAGTTCCGTAGAATCGCAAATGGTGAATGTACACTACATGCATCGACTAACGATTAGCGATGCTTGATAGCAAATCGATACAGACTGATATTCAAACGGATGTGGCTCGTGTGCCTGTAGCTTATTTAAATGAAAAAGCACCGAAAAAGTTGTGGGAGAAGAAACAACGCGACAGGTACACCTATCATTGCAGGTGCGTCATCTGTGCAAAGTCCAGTGAGTTTCTTCCAATCCAAACCACTTTTTTCAACAAAATATTATATATAATTGCAATAATTTTACTTTGTTAATTATTAGTGACTTTATGTCTGTTGCAATGTCATCGATTCTACGCTTGACTGTGTTATTCACAAGAGAAAAAGAATTTTTTTGCTCTGCATCTTCTTCTAAAATTATCTGCGTGGCTTTCAGGACATATGGATTTATTCATTCTTCACCGATAGTACGAGGTTTCTTTTGCTTTGCTATCATAAAAATTATTTCAAATGAAGCTTTGAGATGCTGCGATACACCTGCGTAATAACCTCCCGATTTATCCAGTCTCATCCGCTTGAGCGATTCTGCTTTAGAAGAAAAACACTCTTTCGTCTTCAAAACCAGAGTGGGATGCGATTGAGCCTCATGCTATCATTACTTAAAACTTTCATATAAATCACACACTGAGACAATTGTCACTCGTCTTTTACTATGAAGGTAAATCCAAAATTAACGTAATCTCGGGAAAACTTTCTTTTTTTCGCTGCCATTTTGCATGTATAACAATAAAACAAGTAAGTAATAAATAAATAAGCAAAATACCTACATGTAAATACTAATTATAGGCCCATCATTTTATCTTAATAACGTAATATATTCGACAGTATATTGAAAACCGGGAGATTTATATTTTTGTAGGCAGGTTGACATTATAATAGTAATTTTAAATACATTTGGAATCAATATTAGGTACTTAAAGCTGGATGCAAACTCTTGTTCTAGACTCTATACACTCTCTGGACTCTCTAGACTCGCTGGACCTCTTCACATCGACGTAACTATCCATTTAATAAATCTACAGATCATTATCGTTAAACACGCATATCTATAATTCGAGTTAAAAAAGTATTTATAATAAAGACGTGAATCGCAGGTGTCACATTACAAATTTCTTTTTTTATAGGTAGTTAGATTACCAGGCCCAGATAATGAGGAAGACCAATCTCGTACAAGATCTATATCGGAGAATCAGCGTGAACAGTACTTTCACCTTTTATCTTTGCCGAGAATCGTATCGTAGGCTTCGAGAGCTGATCGTTTTAATGAATGAAGTGTAAACGAGCAGCAAAAAAAAATATATTCAATCATTTTTGGAAAAAGAAGGAAAGTGGATTCGAGCAGAAAACAGGATAGGTAACCCGAGCGATACGTATTTCTGCTTCTCTACCTGCAAACTATTGGTAGGTGAAGAGCAAATATGATTTCTTCTTCAAAAAATATAACACTCAGTTCACACAATTAGAAAATTCGAAATTATGCAGTTTAGCAAGTGGAAGTGGCTCATTTTTGTCAAATAGATCAATTAATAATGAACGAATATGATTAATCTCAGTTCTGTTTAGCTGTGAGAGATTTATGCCCTGATTTGTACTCAGGTGAATGGTTAACAATAACTGGGAATACTAGCGAATCTTTGAATAATTATTATTCATTCAAAACACACTGAAAATTAGCGTACTCGTTATGCAGTTTGTTGAAGTTATTCAAATTATCTGTTAAATTTTTCAAAGTGTTATTTTCAAACCTGTCTTGTAATTTATTTTTTTGCTACAGGGACGGTTCCAGAATTTTCCAGCGACAAACTATCTTGACTGTCTTTGACAGTTTTCATATTTTCCGTTATTTCGTCTAGATCAGATTGATCCAAATTAGCGGAAATATATTTTATGACAGAACCAAAAACATTTTATACTTATCTTAAAACAAATTATAATCATTTTCAAGTTGAGTAGTTTCTTCGACAGAACAATTATTTGGTCTGGGATCTACTTGAAAAGCATTATTTCTAGCGGGTATTTGTTGAAGATATGCCTTTTGTTGAGGTTTGGCGTAGGGTTATATTTTTGTTGATATGGAATGGTTTTTTTGGAAAAAACATTTTGAGGCTGTCTTAAAGCTTGATTGCTCGTAGGGTAGCGAGGTTAAAATGTTGTCTTGGTGGTGGTAATTGTATAGGATCTGCTGGAATTGTATGGTGTGGCTCTAGCCAAATTTGACTATTTTGGGCTATAAACTGACTGGGCTTTGGAGAAAAATTAGAAATGGATCTTTGGAAAGTTTGATCTGGAACTTGCTTGAGAAATTTTTGCAATCAGCTTGCACTTGCAGATTGTCATAATCACGACAATATTGAACACAAGAATCAGTCACAGTAGGATTTTGCTGTCTTACATAGGACCTAAACGGTTCATTCAAACCAGAAATACCGTCTATCATAGTCACTCAATTCAAAAGAAATATGATCGGGATTATCATGGTATTCTAAATTTGTAAATTCTTTCAGACTCTGTTCCCTAAATTTTAGTTCCTACAGTAAGAGTGCTTTACCCAGTAATATCTGATGGTCGATGTGGTGTTTCTAAAAATTAGTATCAGGATCGCAGAAGCGACGAGAGGTCATTATAAGAATTCAAGTTTCCCGCGAATTTTATATCAGGAGCGGACTGCAGATCCAATACCTCTTCGCATTTCTGTTATCCGGATAGCAAACCACAGTTCCTACAATTAGAGTGATTTAGCCAGTAATATCTGATGGTCGATGTGGTGTTTCTAGAAATTAGTATCAGGATCGCAGATGCGACGAAAGGTCATTATTAGAATTCAAGTTTCCCGCGAATTTTATATCAGGAGCGGACTGCAGATCCAATACCTCTTCGAATTTCTGTTATCCGGATAGCAAACCCCAGTTCCTACAATTAGAGTGATTCAGCCAGTAATATCTGATGGTCGATGTGTTGTTTCTAGAAATTAGTATCAGGATCGCAGAAGCGACGAGAGGTCATTACTAGAAGAATTCAAATTTCCCGCGAATATTATATCAGGAGCGGACTGCAGATCCAATACCTCTTCGCATTTCTGTTATCCGGATAGCAAACCCCAGTTCCTACAATTAGAGTGCTTCAGCCAGTAATATATGATGGTCGATGTGGTGTTTCTAAAAATTAGTATCAGGATCGCAGAAGCGACGAGAGGTCATTATAAGACTCTGCTCTTGCTATTAGATAAGCACGAATATGAAATCCATGGCATCGATACCTCTTGCCGTTTCTGCGATCCTGATACAGATCTATACGCATCCGAAAATCGCACTGTCTACCGAACCTTTCTCGTAAAATTGGTGGACGACGAGCTGCTATCAGGATCACAGAATCGCGAGGAGGTTTGTAAATACGACTCTGTTCTTGCTATTAGATAAACACGAATATCAAATCCATGGCATCGATACCTCTTGCCGTTTCTGCGATCCTGATACAGATCTGTAGGCTTCCGAAGATAGCACTGTCTACCAGACTTTTCTCCTAAAATTGGTGGACGACGAGCTGCTGTCAGGATCACAGGAATGCGAGGAGGTTTGCAAATACGACTCTGCTCTTGCTACTAGATAAGCACGAATATCAAATCCATGGCATCGATACCTCTTGCCGTTTCTGCGATCCTGATACAGATCTGTAGGCTTCCGAAGATCGCACTGTCTACCAGACTTTTCTCCTAAAATTGGTGGACGACGAGCTGCTGTCAGGATCACAGGAATGCGAGGAGGTTTGCAAATACGACCCTGCTCTTGCTATAAGATAAGCACGAATATCAAATCCATGACATCGATACCTCTTGCCGTTTCTGCGATCCTGCTACAGATCTATACGCATCCGAAAATCGCATTGTCTACCGAACCTTCCTCGTAAAATTGGTGGACGACGAGCTGCTATCAGGATCACAGAAACGCGAGGAGGTTTGCAAATACGACTCTGCTCTTGCTACTAGATAAGCACGAATATCAAATCCATGGCATCGATACCTCTTGCCGTTTCTGCGATCCTGATACAGATCTGTAGGCTTCCGAAGATCGCACTGTCTACCAGACTTTTCTCCTAAAATTGGTGGACGACGAGCTGCTGTCAGGATCACAGGAATGCGAGGAGGTTTGCAAATACGACCCTACTCTTTTTAGCCGAGAAGTGACATATTTGAAAGTGTATGATACAAGAGGTGTAATGGCAAATTCTGCAATAAAGTTTTTTTAATTATCCAGAGAATAAATTGAATATCTATGACCTGCATGATATTCTGATACCATATACTTAGCTACGTTAATTTAATTTGTAAATCTTGAAGAGACATGATTGGCTGATTAAAACTAAGACGTGATGGTGTCAAAATACCTTGTCTAACAGGTGTAAACATTGCAAATTAAGTCACTTTTAGACGCTAAATAAATTCCCTTATTGATGATCTTTATATCTATATATATTTGGAATACCGGTTTGTTTTTTGGAAATAAATTGCAAGACACACGGGATAGCAAAAAAAAGCGTCAAATTAATGGGAAATCATTAAATTTTAATGGTGTAAACAAAACAAAAACCAGGAACACCATCAAAATATTTATCAAAGTAAAAAAATCCAACGTTTTAGACGAACCGCTAGCACGCACTTACTTTTGTAATATGTTCGTACCTACAATACCCCGCCTAACAGCGCGTTATAGCTCAGTAATTTTAGACATTGCTAAAGTTCTCAATGTACTCAAAAAAGTTTATTTTTGTGTCCAAAAAGGAGGACAGCATTATTTTGTATGATTCAATATTCGAAGAAGCGATCGTCATGAAGAAGAAAATTACACGTTTTAGACGATCCGCTAGCACGCACTTACTTTTGTAATATGTTCGTACCTACAATACCCCGCCTAACAGCGTTATAGATCAGTAATTTTAGACATGCCTAAATTTACTTAGGGTGCAGGTAATTTGGAATATACTATTCCAAATTATAATCACTTTTTTTGACAATTGTTTCTACTTTTTTAAGAAACTAATCCATTTCTTAACTTTGTAACCGTTTCATATACAGCTTATAATTATTAATGTTATTAAGTAATCACAATCACAATCATTATAAATCACTATTTAGCCTGAACTTAGTTACTGCTCTTAAAAGAATCACAGGTATACACACCAGATTCACGAGCACTACAAGCAGCGTGTACCCACAATTCGCACATTAATACTGCACCCATTCCAAATTAACAACGCGACATCCTAACTTGAAATTCCATGTCACATTTTTAATTCTAAATATATTCACAAAATCAGAATACTACTAACAAGGACACATAACAGTTCAAATAATTATCTATCTTAGTAAATGATTATCAATGATTCTTACCGGAAAAGTTTTCGAAGTAAATGTTTCGTTCCCGTGTGGGTGGTAGCAGGAACTGTCAAGATGGCATCCTGTTTGTAGAACTCGTGGTTTAATGTGAATTACGACAGTATATTGACCGCAAAGAAATGAAGATAGAGTTTGCATTTATTTAAGTTACTAAGTATTATAAGTTACCTGCAGTATTCCCAATATGCTGCATTTCCTCTACTGGTCACATTCTTTTACAAGTACCTGCTATTTATAACCTAGGCTAGAACAAGGGAATTGAAAAGTGCAAACCTGAGCATCTCTACTCGTACATAATGAGATCATCAGCATAACAGTGGTGTAACTTACGTGATACGTGTTTCTAATCCCTCATATTTATGTGTCCAATCAAACCACCTTGTCACAAAAAATGAATATCGCTCAATGTTCGTTTTCTGACGTTTGAAGAGAATATGTTTCATTTTTTTGACGTTGGTTTATTTATACTCCAATCCCAGTAATTCTACGCACATATTAAGGATATTTCACTCACCATAGATGTCCCGTACATTTACCGTTGAAACTTCGAAATTTCTCCTACAGTAGGGTGTCAACGTGTGCGACGTCATCCCCCGATGGACAAGCGACGTCGTAGGTGGTCTTACGTCGCAGTCGGCAATCGCTTTCTCAATACTGTGGCCTGCGATTGATGGAAGCCAATATCATCATGTGCACTTGCAGCAATACCTTTCAGGGGCAGCAGGAAGGTCATTCAATTTTTTGTTATACATGTTCGTGGCAAACTTTTTTCTCGGAAGGGCTAACATAATCCTTCGTGAACTGAAGACAGCGTAGCCTGGGAAGCACAGATTCAACTTACTTCGCAACATGATAAGTTTAAGA